TTAGTCTGACAATTGTGAAGATTGTCCGGGACTAAGGCAGGTGGGAGTGAAGTTCCCATCAACCTCATTCCAATTCAAGGAAGTGACTTGGTACGTTTGCAATTGCTTCGTACTGGGTGGGCTGCGAGCGATATGGTCCGCGGGTGAACAAGCCTGACAACATCGGTGTAGTAGACTGTAGGGCCGGCTTGCAAGGTTACCCCGGGAGGTTTAGACGTTTAGGTCGGGATTGATCCCCACCGGTAGCACCGATCCGTTGTCACGGGAATCAGGACCAGGTCCAATTTTCCAGGCTGCTGCTCTGCCGGTGATCATAGCTTGGAGAGCGGCACTTGTCTGCCGAGTTCATGGAGAGCCTCGGGGAAATACGGAGTACCAAATGGAGTAAATGCACTTTTGGGTAGATCCTTACATATTTGGCATGCAAAGCAAGAGAAAAGAAGTAAGAAATTGCTCATTACATTATACCTGCTAAGCAAGATGCGAATATGATGTCTTTTCCGGCGCATTCGCTTGCTAATACGCATATGAAATGCTATGCTACCGATTACTCGTCTTCTGAGACTTGCATGCTGATACCATCACGCCGTTTGCGGAAAACAACATCTTCATATGTGTTCCTTCGCCCTCAAGTAATTCTTCCTAGACGTCAACGTTCTTCATCCCGACTGTGCTCGCTCAATCGTACGCTCAATGGCCCGAAGAGCCCCTGATAGTCCCTCGGCCGACTTGGCTCCGGGCACCTTATGCCCTAGCTGATGGGAGAACAGCTCCCGCTCGTCATTGCACAGTTGAAACAGCGACTGGTGCAGCTTCACCGGATCCCCCATGCCGCTGCTGGTCCAGAGGCCAGACAGGGGCGACAGCGCTACTAAGCGGGCAGACGTGTCGTTGGAACCAACGATATGAGCAGTGGGGACGCGGATCGCGATCCCGTCCACGGCAGGATCGAGGCATCTGAGCGACGCCGGCTCTTGGAAAATGGCGGCGGGATCCAATGGCGGCGCAGCGCTTAAAAGGATGCCGCACTGGAAGCCTGCAAAGCCCTGTCTAGCGTCTTCAGCGAGGAGCATTGCCGCGACTATACCGCCTTCTGAGAAGCCCATGACTCCCTGGAAAGGCCCGTCGTTGGCGATGAATTCCACAAGGCCGAGGAGGAGTTCTTGCGATTGGGCCTGGTTGATGGGCTTGTCGAACCAGCCAAAGAATTCATCAGCAATAGCTTCGGCCCCTGAGGCGGAGACACGTACATGTAGTTAGTCTTGAGTACTTGCACTAGAAATGCAGAATAAGGGGGGAAGGGGCACCGGGGAGATCGATTAGATGGACATGTGCTTATGTTCAATATTTGTTTCTTTGGTTCCAGGGTAGGGAGTAGATGGCCTCACCTTCACTCGGCTCTGTTGACACAACACCATCTATAAAAACAAACTCATGACTGCCGAGTTCTTCTCGGAGCCTCGCTGCCAGTCGACAAGTATACGTTAACATATGTATATCAGTAGCTTTGGTTTCGAAATAGTCTTACCGGTCTGCAGCTCGAAAATCTAGCCAAAATACGTTAGCAACCCGGAACTCGGTGACCATGTCTTTTTGGAGGCGAAAACTCGGCCAACATACCTGGCTGGAGGTTCCACGCCCGTGGAGACAAAGAAATCGCATGGTGTTGAACTGCTGAATGCCTAGTTTTTGCCGTTGCGCGCAGGTATTGAATCTTAAATTTAAAGGTCTATTAGCTTGTACGACATTCGGTCGTCTTAAGATGGCTAAGCTATCATGCTGCCGCGCTTTTGAGAGTGTATTAGCGCGTTTGACGAGCCGTCTCGGCTGTCGATCTTCTCCCGCGACATTTTCCTGGAGCTTTTAAGCCAACATGGGTGTTATAACCCCCTGGATTTTCTCAGGATGCTCCGCATACGGTCTCCAGTTTCAACATGGGCTTTGCTGGCTCTCATATATGAGGTCCCGCTTAGTTTGGTCTTAATTGTTAAGCTAAATCGCTTTCTTCCATGTCCTACCTATGCGAGGACCGGGGTCAATGAAGGAGTGGTGTTTGCTGAAGGATTTGAACATACGTGGTATCGCATCCTGTTGCCTTCTAATTCATGCGTATGCGCGTTGGTTCAGCTACTCACTGAATGATTGGTCGTGTGCTGCATATGTGGAGGTTCTTCACTAGCACGAAATCAAACATATAACAGGAGCACGACAGCCAGCATCTATATCCGTACCCTGAAAGAGCTTCTCCCAACTTTCCTCCGACATTCTCAGGAGCAACATTCCGCATTACCCGCGGATGATGACCTGCATGTGAAAATCATCTCACTGTCTTTCCACTCAGCAACTTGTAATTCCATACGCTGCTGTCGTGTTTCCGGAGAGTCTTTCTCATCTGACAAGTTCTCCACACTCTCTGGATATCCACCCAGCCAGCATTTTCAAACCATGGCTCTCGCTCTTCCAGCTGGCGCCGCGGAAATCATTATCCGCAAAAAGGCGCTATATTGCCGTCTCGCCGACACCAATAACTGGGGCCTGGCCGACAAGGTTATGTTACCTGACTACACCTTTACGGCTGTTGATGAAGATGATAACATCGTCCGCCTTAATGACACTGACTACCATTGGACCTCGCTGGCAGACTGGGTGGCATTTTTTAGCAGCATATTCGCGCCAATCCAAACGATGCATGTTGCTGGCTATCCAGAGCTAGAGCTGGTGGCCCCAGACGAGATCATGGCCATATTCGGCGTAACTTATCTGGTCGGCACCAAGGAGGCTGACAAAGGGGTGCATGGTACTGGCGGAGGACACTATTACGAGACGTGGAAGCTCAAGGACGGCGATTGGTTCCTACAGAAGACTAAGTTTGTGAGGATCTATTGGAAAGAAATGACCCTGTAGCTGGCTGGTCTGCGTAATACACACTTGTGCAGTACCCCAGCACATATGAGTACCTAGTCATAACCGTTGGCGATAAATCCTAGTATAGTAAAACCAATGCATGCAAGTAGCCCTGCACTGGGCCCCTCTACCCTGCATTAACGACGATCACTCTTAGATGGAGCAGATAAAAGGAGCACGAAATCCTGGAAATGCAGCTCCCTGGTCCCCTGGCTCCCACTTACCGTGACCGAATTTCCAGATTCCCGCCATATGAAATGGCCTTTTGTTCTCGCCCTGTGGGGATTCACGGCTCCGTACCGGGGCCTAGACAGGACATCGGTGCTAAAAGCGATCGACAGAGGCTTAGACAGGCTTAGCGATAGAGTTGAAGTACGAACTATGTAGTATAGAGCTAAACTTTGAAAGTCGACGTGAAGAATGCTCCGAAGAAAAGAAAACAAGAAAAAGTCGGCCAATACCCTTGTGCTATCCCCATAATTGTTAACGTTACGCTACAAAACACGGAGTCCGTTTCGACGGGCTACGACTGGTGCGGATCTTTACCACTAGTATAGTATACCCGTAAACCCTTTTTTAGTCTTGTCCAAGCGTATGATTCCCTCTCAAAAATATTTCATAGGAGACTGCTCATATACGAACGACAGCTGGCATCTGATATCACGAACAAGTAATACTGTATACTATGCATGCACATACCAAGTACTGGGCTCTTGGTATTACACATAGTAGAGTAATCCGTCAACGTTGTCCAATCTGACAGATTGGAGTTAATTACATTCAGTGACAGAAATTTGATGTCAATGCCCGAACGAATCCTCCCCCAGCATTTCCAAAGCGGGCATTTTACCGACTAACCCCCCCCCCTGGTTACCATCGCTGGAAACTGCCGCGCAAAAACAAGATGGTTGTGTTACTGGAGCCGAGGCAGCCGTCGCTGTTAGCGGTATTGACATGTAATATTTTCGGACCAGGGATCGCGCAACCTCTTGCCTCTGTCTAGCATCCATGATAGTACCCGTACTACTGCTCTACTTTGTATGTACATGTACTATTTACACTACCTTGTATCTGCCTCGCTTCATTCACGTACGAAGTAGATATACAGCACATGCCTAATCTTTACTAGCTTGTGATAAAAATATGGTTGGTTACAAACAACTGTCAAAAATGCTGGAATCATGCGACTATTGCATGACTTGCCACACTATGTACCTTACTAGTAGTCCTCGTTTGTTTTTTTGTATGTTTGTTTGTGTTATTGTTAATGTCCACTAAGTAATCTACATATTTGTAGTAAGGCGGTTGGTTCTAGTCCTAGTCTAGCTCCCTGAGCTGTTTCCTCTTGCTTTTGGCTTACTGTTTGATGTGGGTTATTGTTGCAGTTTTGGAGGGTGGTTTTGGAAGTTCTGTTCCTTCCTTTGTGAGTTCGTCCGCTATTTTGTTGCTGTGGATGTCGTTGTGCTTGAAAAGACCCAGGTTACTTTGGTGCGTATTCTTGGTTGGAGGTCCTTGGTGATTTTCCTGAGGCTATATAGGCCCCTTGCGAGGAGTGCGGTGTCTTGCCTAAGATGCTATCGACTATAGCTCAATTGTTTAGAAAGAGGATGATCTCTTTGATATCTGGGTCGGCCTGAATCCGCTCCCTAGTGAGTTTGATTGCTTCGTGGGCCCCGACTGCTTCCGCATTGTATACTTCTGCGTTTGGCAGGCAGCCTTTGGCCTTGGTGGCTTGGGTTTTGTGAAAGGTGACTGCCCCCTATCCCGTGTTTCCGAGCTCGTCCTGGGAGCCATTGGAGTACGTGACGAGGGTGCTAGTAGTCCTCGCATTAGTACGGACAATTATTTCGAACCAACACTTGGAAGAAGACGCAAGAAAACCTTGGCATCATGAATATCAAAGACTAAGGTATATGTAGATAAGTTGGTCGACCTTTGCCTGACGCAGTCCCTATGTAGTTCTTGGCACTCCACCTCTACGGTGTTCTTACGAGTATATGCTAAAATAGAAGCCCAGGGGTAAACACCAATAACCACACAAACAACCACAAGGGGGGGTCCAACAGTTAGGGACTTTTGCTTGTTGTTGACTCCGACTAGTTGAGAACAGTTGCAGCAGTAGCATCCTCAGCATCAACACCTCTGAACTCAAAGTACTTGTTCCACTCAGGGTCCTCGATAAGAGTCTGTGCTAATCTCTTCTCATAGAAGATGGACACTTCTGGGCCCTCATCTGACTCTGGGTCATTGCTGCGGGGCGGGTAAATGATGATGACACCTTCAGTAATACGATCTGTAAGGTGGCGATAGGTAATGGCCTTTGCGAAGCCAAAGTCAGTCGAGGCTATGCTAGCATCCCGGTGGTCGGTCTGAAGAATCGACATGGGTGGCAGGGAGTCTATACGGATATTAAGGCTTGTCTTGTCGCGAACTGTAGCCACCATGTCCAACGTTTTGTCAAGGGCCTCCTGAGTCACACTGGCCGTCATCTGGCGCACATACTGGGCTATCTTGGACAGCGGCCACTCTGAAATAACCTCAGCTATTGTTGGCTGTGTGACAGGGGCGGTTGTGGATAGAGCTGCGAACATGACATTGCCCCGAATTCGTGGAGGGACGCTGTGCCAGCGCCTGCGCATGTCGATGGCCTCCGCCCAGAACATCTTTGATGCTGGATCCGGGTTAAATATAGGGGTACGCACACGAGTTACCGTACGCCATATAAAAGCAGAGAAGGCATCATAGGTAGAGATCCACCCGTCTGTTGGCGTGGCCAGCTTCTTCAACTCGGCCGCTTTGCTCTTGGGTAAGTGGAAGAGCAGAGACACTCCTTGAATGTGACCGGGATGGCGTTCTGGTGCCGGAGGCCCAGCCACCTTCTGATCTTCAGGTGGCTCTGTCTTAATGAAGGGCGAAAGATCCTGGTTCTTGGGATCCCAGGCTGGAAAGGGAGTCTTGTGTAAGGCAGCGTAACAATTTTCCGCTAGTTGACGAGTATAGCCGGCCCAGCCCATGACATCGTTAGAGTAGTGATGGTGATGCATATTGAAGACTAATCCGCCCCTGATAAAGTTCATCTTGAATGCAGCCACGATAGGGCTAGCGTCAGGGTGAGCCTCGGGCTTCTCGCCATAGGTCATTGGATTAACACTCCAGAGTTTGAGGTCACCAAGCGGCACCGCACTGAAGTTCGCCTTCTCAATATCGTCGATGGACGGGTATTTGTCAGCATCTTCTGGTGCATCGAGCCACTGTACGAACAAGCGGGCGGTGCTATTCTTCTTGCTCACGTACGAGTGGCCACCACCAGGATCCTTTTCAATAGTGCCACATAGATGCTTTGCCTGACCAAGAGTCCTCGCAAGGCCTTGCTTCATAATTTCAACAGCCCGAGGCTTGGCCGCGTCGTCAATCTTGAAGAACAATGCATAATTGTTATAAGTGATGACTGAGAGGTAATCCAGAGTAGAAACTTTGAACCTCTCCTCTTCGGGACCATTTTCCCATCCGAATGGATGAATATGGAATACCTCTTCTTTGGGTGCCATGGTATCGGCTGATGGCGTAAAGGAAATTGGAAAGAAAAAAGAAAACTAAGCTATGTAATAGGGGGTAAAGCTCAGTATTAGAGAATGGCGTTATTGGTTGGGTAGAGTTCTCAGCTTGCTCTCAATCTGCTTTCATTTGGAACTTCATTGCTTCCCCTTCAATGTCTTTAAATATGTTATCTGTAGAATCAAGACTACCTTTACGGTGTGTTTTCTTCCCCTCCTCTTGAGCAACGCTATCGTGTCAAGCGAAGACGCTAAGTTGGATTTGATATATGCAATCAGGTCTATTAATGCGACATATGAGCCAAGCCTTGAAACTAACGTAGTCGGAAATGATAGATTCCAAGCTATCCCAGTTCCCCTTCCTGCATTATACCTAAAAGACGCCGTTGAATGCTACCGTGGAGACTGAAAAGCGATATTCTTCCAACGAGATCCTTGTTAACTTCATAACCTGGCTGTAACGAGGAAACCCGATGGCAAATGCGGTGGAGAATTCAGGGGAAGAATTGCCGCTCATACGGGCCTACATACTGTACAATGAGAATGTACCTTGTGTATGTACTCCGTGTTTTCTAGTGCATTTACCCAGGCAGACACATACTAGGTAGGTAAGGTAGCAATATGTCAAGTCTGCCAAGTTCTGCATGCTGCCGGTGTGCCTGCATGCTCCACACATGTGCATATATCTATGTGTACAGAGGACATTACCTACCAATCTCAACGAATTTTATATCTATAGTTCCTTTGGGGTTCAGCATCAGTAGATACGTGTATAATATACTACCAACGTGGGGGGCTACGTGAGTAGTAGTATCAATGTCTCAACGCTGTTAGACACCCTCTCGGCTATCGCATGGATTCAACGCTATCGACATCTACGCTCCACACTGTTTAGCACGGTCTATCACCTGCAAGCAAGAGCAATGTGGGACAACGCTCTACGTCTAGGGAACCTCATCCCGTGCGCCGGCTTTGGTGATCCCGGCACCGTCGTCAATGGGGGGCGATGGGATTTCCATCTCGGGCTTCTAGTCAGGGTTTTGGCCGTTTAGCCCCGCGGTCCGCGCGGACGGCTTCCGGAGGATGCGGTGTTAACCTAGAATGGCTGTAATGTGGATGAATGCCGAGTCGCGACAATTTGAGCAAGGGTGGACCATGTCACAAGCCGGCCTGCTTTGCTTTCCTCCAGCCGAAGATGATCAAGGGATGGTAGTTGACATTGAAGGACCGGCGAACGAGGATGATCTACAATTTTTTTCGGAAATATTTTCTGACACATCACTGAGGGGAATCACGTACAGAATGAAGCTAATGCAAATGGGTAAAGTAGTCCATGAAGAGTTTTCAGTAAGACCATAGGCAACACCGCGGCTTGAACCAACTACAGTAATTACTGATCCCAGCGGCTCAGTACTCCGTTTACTCGTATGGAAAAGTGCAGCAAGTGCTGGTAAGCAGCATGGTGAACCCGGTCGTGTTCGTTTCGAATCCTGGGACGATGCTAGATTACGCATTGGCCGTAATAGTACGAGCATCAGTTCCCGTCCTCTGATTTGTGAAAGGGACTCGCCTGGATGCAACGTTCTTTCTCCTGACGTTCACCTAGCCATCTCCATCCAACAACTTTATCTTGGAGAAAGTTCCACCTACGTGACGAGGAGAGGTTAAACAGACGAAGAGTGTTCGTAGACTGACCAGAGCGCGGCACGCAGCAGTTAGTCTTGTATAGGGAGGACGTCCATACCAAAGACGAGCAGACATCTTATCTTTGGTTGACGGAAAACATTTCTACTTTTTCTCCCAACACGCTGTCTTGGCAAACTTGCTGTCTTGGCAAACTTAAACCCTATCTCATCATGGATCTCAACGGCCCTGCCATTCCGGCACCTCCTGGCGAGGTCTCGATATTGGACAATCCTCCGAATAGCAACGGACTTGCTTTGGGCGTCCAGATATTCACTTGCGTGGTCGCGACGCTATGCTTTGCCCTTCGAATTTACGGCCGAGTCCTTTTGGTGAAGAAATTCCAGGCAGAAGAAAGTAAGTTTACCCGCTGCATGGTGACAGTTCACTTATCATGTCAAGCGTCGTGCTGTATACGCATTTACTAACTGCGTCTTTGCATTATATTAGTTTTGGCTATACTGGCTTATGTCCGTGACCCATCATGTTACCCGTGCAGAAAACGAGGAGTGTGTCGTGGCTAATCTTGTGTTTGATACTCGAATAGGGTTGCTATTGGGGCGCTATTATCCCGACGCTTGAGATGCTCAAGTATCCTGGTTACCTTGTTCACGCATGGAATGTCCGGCTCAAAGATGTCATTCCAACGACCTACGTAAGCAGTCGCCTTTGGATATTTCCACTCTGTAACTACAGAAAACTGATATGCCGCACATGCAGTGGGTGTTCATTTTCGGTGTCTTTTACTCCCTCGTCCTTCCGCTGCTAAAAGTAGCCATCATGATTGAATGGGTTCGATTGTTTGTTCCCAGTTCAAAAACCAAAAGCTTTTTCTTTTGGGGGGCCGCTGTGATTTCGGTCATTCAGGTTGGGGCTGGTATCGCCATCATCATTTCTCTCAACCTCCAGTGCACTCCGCATCAGCGCATCTGGGATTTTACAGTCCCTGGTACATGCTGGAATCTGTATACGCTGCAAGTCATTTCTGCAAGCATTCAGCTTGCATCTGATATTGCCATGTTCTGTCTGCCACAGCAAATTATCTGGACCCTGCAGATGACGTGGCAGAAGAGACTTGGCGTTGCTGCCATTTTTGGCATGGGTGTGCTGTGAGTAAAGCCCATCTTTCAATTGAAATCCCACTGGATAAAAATGATTTCTTTTTGCTTGTGAAAATCAAACAGCTCATATTCTAATTATCATGGTCTTTTTAGTGCTATCGTTGCAGCATCTTTCCGAGTCGACGTGACAGTGAAGCACGGTAACTCCCCCGACTCCATCTACACGCTTGGCCCGATCGTGTTCTGGGCCTCGGCCGAAATGACATGCGGATTTTTTATTCTCTGCGTGCCTTGCATTCCCAAGATTATTCAAGAAGCGGGCATTATCCCTGCCATCAAGAAGGGAACAGGCATGCTACACTCTGGCGGCAGATCCAACCAAGTTTCAAGCGGTTATGGTCGCGGCGGTGGTACCACTAAGACGTCCGTGTCCGCAAACAAGGATTATTATCAGCTAGAGGAGGAGGGAATGAACATGAAGAACCTATCAGAGTCGACGGAGCATTTGCACCATGGCTCACACGCCCCTGCCATCACTCGTACCACGCGTGTGACAGTAACCAACGACAGCCGCTCTGTCAGTGATTCTGACAGCAAGAACGATGGTTGGGGTCATTAGATGGGACCATGACCGGATGCAACGATGAGGCTGCTTCGAACGGCCATGGTACCCTTTCTACCCTTTCAAAAAAGCTTCAAATTTTCTTGATGTACTGCTATACTAACGGCCGAGGCGCTGGTACTACCGGCGGTGTGTTGCCGAAAATCTTTTGATTTCTTGTCTTCTCTTTCATCTCCTTTGTCACTCGATAGTAACTAATATCCGATGATACCTGTCTCGAGGGATGAGCAATCGCCCTTACGGGACTTGCATGGCTATTTCATATATCCCATATTTCAAACTAATATCCTATATAGATGAATGAACAGCTACAGCGCTGGAACGTTGGCTTACGCCTACCTACTATCCTTTATATCAACTGTGGCGTATAGTCAAAAGAATTCTGGTATTTTCTATGCCGGTGATCAATACGAGAAGTAATGTGCATGGCGATATATTATCAATCGCTTGCCTATCCGTCGTTGCTCCTCGTACGTCCGTGTTGCCAACCCCCTGTTACCTTGGCACCACGGCCCAGGATATAGGGAGCGGCGCTGCAGCTAGCATCCGAACTGGCCACTAGCACCTGCGGTTCCAGAGAATATGATCAATCTTGTTGATCAATACTTACTTAGTATTACATGGTGAAAATGCTCATGTCTGTCGTCTCTGGCTATGACAATTACCGCTGTATGGCTGGGGTACCAGATACGCGTAGTGACTTCCGACCTGGGTGGATATTGCGAATAAGCGCTGTCAAATTTAGATGCCGAGTAAAAACCTCCGTACGCGCCAAAGCAAAAGCCACAAAACAATATGTGTGTGGGTGACCATCAGCGAACATTGGCTATCAATATAAGGAGACTCAGCACCACTTCAAGCACATACGACCATATCCATTGGAAAATACGGGATCCCGTCTGCTCTCCCAGAGTCAAGCCAATGAGAGGCAGATTAGTAGTTGAGTGGGTGACCATCAGCGAACACCGGCTGTTGTATGTTTCTTTTTTTTTTTTTTTTTTTGGCTTCATAATCATAAGCTGGTAACGTACTATCATGGCTATCTTGATAGGAACAATTGTTTAGCTACATGTATCCTCGTGACGAGTGTCAGTGTGGTGATTGTGTAGAAGAGTGTTGTATGCGAGTGCTACATTACATATAATCAGTATATTGGAAATACTAAAGCCGGTAATAGTGGTTGAATTGACATCTTCAAGTTAAGGGTGTGGGTAGAAGACATTTGTTGACTCTCTATCATCGTGCGCCACGGCGTTCTCTAGTCACCTGGCTAATGTTCTGCTGAAAACAGGAGAGGGAAAACAACTCATCGAATCAGTAGGAAACGCCATTGGCGCACGATTACGTAGCTTTCATGGAGCATATCAAAGTATAATAAGGGCCGGTCCCTTCTTAGAAACCCCCCTCAAGTTCAGTGACCACTTCTCAGACAAATTTCGCGTATTTTAAAATGCATCATTCGCGGCTTCTACGTCGACTGCTACGCAAAGGCCGCTGCCAGTTCTGGCGCCGCAATCAGAAGGCCGCTATTCTCCAGCTTCCGCTAGACATTCTCGTTCTTATTACTGACAACCTGGCCCTGCACGATAAATTCCTCCTCTCACATACCTGCAAAGCGCTTCGGCAAGTCCTACTCCAAGAATGGGATATTGAGCTCCCACAGCTCTCCTTTGAACATCAGATTGGGTTTTGGGTAGGGCTGGCTTACACTTTACCAAGTCGCTGGGTCTGCCTGAAATGCTGCAAACTACATCCTATTGACACCTCAGATGTGCCAGCGGCCTTCATGCTTATCAAGTACGGGGCTGTCAGGACTGTCCCTTGCAGCCTTGAAAGCTCCCGAGGAATTGAAGTCGAGCAGTATTCTGTCCAGCACTACCATATACAGCTTGCACTTAAGCTCTCGCGCCTGGGCAATGTATATCAGCAATACCTTGCGGCGCTGATGCAAACTTTTACGCATACGCGTACGAAGTATTCACTCACGCCGCCACTTACAGAGTTCTATGCCGCAGAGCCCAGGATTATCAATAGACGGTTCATCCTACGTGAAGAATGGAAAATCAGCAATAATACGAATACCGCTTTGCCACTCTTCCCAGACCAATTAGGTTGCAGTATCCCAGTCTGCCCGCACATGCGTATAACGATGGGCGGACTTGTGGGATCTCGCAACTGGAAAGAATCGTCTATCAATGTCATAGTACATTGGTGTAATATCATGAGTCCGCACGAAGGGTCCATCCTGCTCAAAGAAGTTACCTTACTCGAGGATAGCATTGAATTAGCTTACGAATCACCAGGCCAGTGGATATTCAACTCTTGTCTGCACTGCTCTACAGATCTCGCGGTCATGATTTCTACAGATGAGCGAAAGGCGACAATCCGGGCTTGGCACGACTTTGGGATAGAAGGGTCACCACTGGATGCTAGTTGGAAGGCTCATGTGAGAGATGAAAACAGGGCAAATTGGCTTTACGTAGGTCCCTATGTGGATTATACTCATGGTAGTATCCGGGAGTTATGGTCAGAGCATGTCTCTCATGGGACCGGGACTAGTCATGCAAAACTGCGAAGCATCTTCACGAAGCTGATAGATGGCTGGAGTGAAGTATAGCTTCCTGCTTTATTTTTTGAATGAGAAAATACCTCAATTAAGAAGACTTGATGTAATTCCCTATTGTCCACTATGACCTTGAATATGTGAAAGTGTGAGGTTACTACTAAGAATCTGACAAACAAGTAGAGTTTAACCGGATCTGTACATGGCATGATCTGTCACTACGGCTCTCCATCACACCATCGTTAGAAGACACCGTGATTTAGATGGCATGGCTTAAGATGATGTAAATCGATCATCTTATGGAACCGTTATCAGGCGTCTAGACTTCTGTCAAGGGTCTAAAATGAACGGAGCCTATACTGAGAACTCACTTATAGTACCTCCTGCATACACCACTGCTGCTACCGCTGCTACCGCTGCTACTGGTACTACTACTATTACTACTACTACTATCACTACTACTTATAAAGCTACTCTTTCCTTTAATATTACTTAATTGAAATACCTTAGCGCTAGCTGTAGTAGACCTGCCATATATCTATTAGTTACTGCTAATGTAGCACCTGCCTCCTACCCAAATAATGTGAAGAAAGAGCAACTGCTAATGAGTCTGGGACACAAGTTAAATATGGACACGAGCTTGTGTATTTTGTTTGGTTCCTTGTCTCTTCATTGACGCCGCCGCCACCGCCACCGCAACGATTCAAGGTACGTAAAAATGTCCATCTCCACTACTGACATTATCATGAGTGTAGGCCTAATCGCCATGGCGATTTGTGCTGCTTTAACAGCTTACCGTATGCGTTTCCCCCCCTCCTCCAGCTGAGTTGGAAGCCCTTCAGAGAAGGGTAGAGAATCTTGGAAGAGAGGTGCAGACCCCCGTTCCCCCCTTTCCCTGGAAATACTATCTGGCTGACAGTGAGACAGTTTGGGATACAGTACGGCGACAAATAGATTTTTTGGACGGCCACACCTTTGTTCACAAGCTTTGTAGCTGTGTCGACAATGTTGGGCACGAGCGTTGTCAAGAATAGAGCGCTCAAGTACCGAGCTCATTGTGGGAAACTCCTTTACTGCGAAATGGACCTATCCCTCAGCGAATGTATACTCCCACACCAGGTACCCAAAGTGCAACAAAGATACCGCGACGCAAGAGGCCATTTTTCGGAGATCATGATGGCAAAGGAATTGCTAAGAAGGTATTACTGGCCAACTCTGATCGGGCGACAATGACCATTATTGCAAAACTTGCTTGACCTGTCAACAGACGGCTCCACGACTACCGAGAACCATGTCAAGGCAAATTGGGGTGGCGGAACCATGGGAAATTGTGTGCATGGATTTCGTGGGGCCCATATCCCCCGCCTCTGTGGAAGGTCACTCTTACATCCTAGTCAACGTCGATTACTTGACGAGGTTCAGGGCTAGGGAGAAGTTATCCAGCACTCCATCTGTAGCTCAATAAAGCAGCCAGGCCACATGTCAAAATACACAAGTGCCAAATACGTTTTAAACTAGCAGTAGCAGCAGTAGCAGCAGTAGCAGCAGTAGCAGCAGTAGCAGCAGTAGCAGCAGTAGCAGCAGTAGCAGCGAGAAGAGGCCCAAGCATGGACGATGTCTTATTTATTGCGACTGGACTTTTTGGAGAAGTATTACCTGGCTGCCACTTGTCTCCTACTGAACCGGCGATAAAATGCATTAAGAACAGAGGCCTGGAGACACGATGCATCTTGAAGCTGTCTTATTGGAGCTGATGGAGACCCTACAGCTGTCCTTGATTCTTACTTTCGTGTTCGTGGTGTAAGCAGCTTGCGGGTTGTTGATGCGTGTGCACTTCCTCTTCTTTTTGCGCTTGCTACATGTATCATATGGTCAATGAGTAAGTAAGTGATGTTATTCTTGTAGACGTTGGACAAAACATATCAGAGATAAAATTACCCACTAGTTATGTATACATATAAGTAAGAACTAGTACGACTGGTTGGATACTTGTAGTCTAGCTACAAGAACTACCTGCATATTCTACACTTACTATACTTACACGACGATATCACATTCAGCCGCTGTATAATTGGGCTTAAAGTGAATGAGAATACCAGTTTCTCTACACATGCTATCAAACACCTAGTCTCCGCGATGGTCAAGAAGTAAAGCCATCACTTCCTCTCCACTCTCCTCGTTCCCTGCAGCAGCCTTCATGATATCATCAGTCACAATAATCTCATCCCCGTGTTCGCGAAGAAGAAAGGCAGTAACCTTTTCTCCCTTCCGCCTATTGCCAGCTGCAGCCTTGACCACTTCCTCTGTTATGACGACCTCGTCTCCGCGCCGTTTCAGGAGCAGTTCTACTTTCTTCACGCTCTTCGAAGAACTTGCCGCCGCCGCCTTCAATAAATCCTCAGTAACGACGACTTGGTCCCCTCGGCGGTCAAGAAATAGCTCTATTACCTCATGGCCACGCCAGTTCTCTGCCGCCGCAGCCCTAATTGTCTCCTCGGTGGTAGGTATCTGATCTCCACACCGATCAAGAAGCAATTCCATCACCTCTCCATCATGTTCTCTTGCTGAAATCTGCATCACCTCTTCAGTTATCAAGATCCGACCCCCGCACACTTGAAGAAATAATTTCATTATATCGCTAGCGAATGCTTCAGCAATAATTTTGACTACCTCTTCGGTAACGGGGATCTGGTCTCCACACTGCCTGAGAAGAACTTCTAATATTGTGAACCCCGAAAAGTTTTCGGCCAGTTTCTTTATCACCTCTATAGTAATAGGGATCTGACCTCTGCGGAAAAGTAGTTGTTTCATCACTTGCTCGCCCCTAAAGGAGTTTCCTGCCGCCGCTTTAATGACTTCCTCGGTAATGGGAAGCTGGGGTCCGCCCCGGTCGAGAAGCAGTTCCATCACTTTTTCATCGCCGCGGTTTGCCGCTGCTGCTTTTACCACCTCTTCTGAAGTAGGGGTTTGGTCTCCGAACCAATCGAAGAGCATTCCCAATAGCCTCCAACCCTTGATCTTATTCCCTGCCGCTGCTTTTACCACAGACTCAGTGACAGGGGTCTCGTCTCCGCGCCAGTTAAGCAGCAGTCCCAGTACTTCTTTATCCCAAGACTGGTTTTCTGCCGCAGCTATTACCGCCCCTTCTGTAATAGGTGTATGGTCTCGTCGGTCGTGAAGTATAGTCATTATCTCTTTGCCGCTTTTATAATTTCCCGCCGCTGCTGTTACCACCTCTTCAGTGATCGAAACCTGGTCTCCACGCTCATCCAGAAGCAACGTTATCAGTTTGACTCCGTGATTCTCATTTCTTGCTGCTGCTATCATCACCTCTTCATTAATAGGGACTTGATCTCCTCTTCTATCAAGAAGCAGTGTTAGTAGTTCAATCCCGTAATTCCTATTTCTTGCTGCTATTGTCGCTACCTCCTTGGTAACAGGGGCCCGGTCCCCATACTTATCAAGAAGAAATAGTAAAAGTCTGTCTCCAGTCGCTTCATTTCCTACTGCTGCTGCTACCACCTCTTTGGTGATAGGGGCCTGGTCTCCAAGCCAGTTGAGAAGTGATTCGAATATACCACTAGAGGCATTTTTTGCGGCCACCTTTACCACCTCTTCGGTAATAGGAGTCTGTTTTTGCCGACTAATAAGCACTGTTATTACTTTTTCCCCATACCGATTCTCTGCTGCTGCTTTCATCACCTCTTCGTCGATAGGCACCTGTTCCCCACACAGGTCAAGAAAGAATCTCATCACTTGTTCATTGAAATGCCCAGCAATGAACTTCGCCACGTCTGTATTGACGGAAACCTGGTTTTGGTATCGTTTAAGCAGCTCCATCACTACCTCTTCTCCACTCGATTTGTTTTTCGCTGCCGCCTCCAGCACTTCTTTGGTAAAAAGAATTTCATTTCCACGCCTGTCAAGAAGCAGTTTCATGATCTGTCTGTCATACTTCTCTGTAATAATTTTTACAATCCTTTCAGTAACAGGGATTTGATCACCGTGCCGGTCAAGAAGCATCTTTATTACATCTCCAATTCCGATAAACTCGTACAATATGTGTTTCATTGCTCGCTCGGTGATAGTATTCTGATCTTGGCTCCTGTCAAGAAGCAGTACCATTAAGTCTTTGGCATAGCGTGAACCCGCCATCGTCACCACCTCATTGGTAAGTGGTAATTGATGACCATACTGGCTAATGAAACGCTTCCTGTCTTCCAAAGTGCAATATCTTTCAATAAGCGGTTTTCTAATTTTTCGGGTGATGGAGAATCCACGCCGTTCGAAAAGTAATCTCATCATTGCAAAGTCTTTCGTATTTCTTGCCGCTGCAAGCATCACCTCTTCGGAAACAGGGATCTGGTCTCCAAACCGATCAAGAAGTAGTTCCATGACTTTTACACGACAGTTCTTGGCGATATATTGCACTATTTTCAAGGTAATAGGTACCCGGTCTCCGTACCGGTTGAGAAGTAGTTGTATTATCTCATAACCGGTACCGTCATTTGCCGCTGCCGCCTTGACCACCTCTTCTGTAACAGGAGCTTGGTCTCCGCACCAATTGAGAAGTAGCTTCATCACTGCTAGGCTGTTTCCATGTTTCAACGCGGCCGTCTTCATCACCTCCTCGGTAATAAGGTTAATGTCGCTGGACTGGCTGAGAAGTAGTTTCGTCAATGCCTCGCCACTGCTGCTATTTCCCACCGCCGCCTTTAAAATATCCTCAGTGATAGGAATTTGACCATCATGGTGGTGCTGAAGAAGCTTCATCATTTGGGTGTCATGTAGTTCTGCAATCTGGATTATTCCGTGCTCTGTCACCTCAACGTAATCTCCTCTTCGCCCTAAGATATCAGCTGCCACTGCCAACTTTTCAGCTTTCCGCTCCAGGCTGTATGTCGTACTCGTAGGTAAAGACTGTAGGTAAGTCCCTCCGTGTGGAGTATGGTAAGCTTCTATTGATTTTTCAAATCTATCGACCGCGTCACGATATAGCCCTGCATCTTTGAATAGCTGCCCGATACAATGCAATCTGGCTGCTTTCCCTAGGTGATCCATGTATCCAGGAACTCGACCATTTAGGAACCCTTCGTAGTCACCTAGGGTTTCTGGAGAAAGTCCCCAGTTCCAAAGAAGTAGAAGTTCACGGTGAGGAGAGGTTTCTGGCCATCTACAAGAAGTCAAAGATAGATGCCTAGGAGTAGCGGCAATTATAATAACATCAAAATAATCCTCGCATGGCCTGACGATCATGGGGTTCGATGCACCTGGCACAAAGCAAATGATATCATCCCGACAAATGAGCTTCGCGGAAGCTTGCATGGTCCAGACGCTGTGCTCTTCTTTATAATAAGAGTCAGAGTCAGAGTCTTTCTCTAGGTGAATATTCACACCCACATTATGTTTATCGTCCCACGCATCAGAAGTTGATATAGAGGATACCGTACCAATCACACGCCCGTGAGTCTTGATTATTGCGAAGTCCTGATTGTTCCAGGTTTTGATAGATGCTTGTTCTCCAGTAAAGGAAGAGACTAGTTTATGAAAGAGGTCTTTCCACGGAGTATTGTAGTTAGGCGTCAGACCAGGCGGAATTTCTACACCCATACCCAGCAAAGCATAAATTTTATCTCGCCAGTCCTTGGCATCGCGGTTGTGGTACATGTCTACCAATTCCCCCATGGAGCGTCTGTCAAGAGAAAATTTGTCAAAGCTACCAGCGATATGCTTAGGCCGGAGACCGGCGTTTTTTATAAGGTATATCGCTGAACGGATTCGGTTCTGTAGTTCTGGGTCTTTGAGGGTTAGATTCAAGGCTGTTAACCCGGCGCAGAATGCGTCTCCGTCAATCTCTATGGAATGACACATGATCAGGACGTGCCTAGCAGCGGCAACCTCCTGGAGCACCTAGAGCGACTGGTATTCAGTAAATGTCTACCATTCAATTGTAGTGTCTATTTAACCTACCCATATGCGCTGGAACCACGATCGTTGAAGAATCTTGCGTATCGCCTTGTCATTTGAAGACTTGGTCAACCGGCCATCCGCAGCACGGCCTATTTCCTCGATTGCCTGGCTCGTGTCGCCTGAGTAGGTACCCTCTATCGACTCTTCAAGCCATACAATGACCTGGCTTGCCCTAGAGTAGATGTTCATCATATATCGAACTTGGAGACTGCGCTCTTCATTGTCGTCTTGATTAATGCAAATGCCGTCGGCCCATATGATTCGATCAAATGAATTGTCTCGAAGACGTGATAGCGCCGTGTGAAGATTCTCAGTAATATACAAGTCATCTCCATTAACGCAAATACGACGGGGCTTTTCTTCAGAGCCCCATACGTAAGATAGAGCCTCGTAGAGGTGAGTGCCTTTCCCTGAGCTTAGAAGAGGGTAATGAACAAGTTCACATCGTATTGTAGCATCTTCGTCTGGATGTGGCAGCAATCGTAGTAAGCGGATATTACCAACCGGCAAAGGAGACTAGCGGTACGTAGATTTTGGATTAGAGATTGCGTTCGACATTGTATGGCGTTCGGCGTCACGTCTTGCTGACGCAAATGCGTCGCTTCGTACGCCAGAATCTGCACTCTCATTAGAGCTCGTGGCTCTGTTCTGAATTTTTTAAAATCATGGCCTTCTGATATACAGCCAAGTGCCACTTTAGTGAAGCTTTGATGATGGTAATGCTAGCTGATGCGCGAATTTTTACAGTGGCATTGCACGAGGCTCCCTACATGTAAGCTGCAGTTGAGCCTCATCTGGCAATATACATGTACTATCAATAGCCGGCTTAATACTGCACAAGGCTGGTCTCAGGGGAACTTTCATAACGGGTCACATGAGCAAGGAAGGAATATGCACTTAGTAAGAAGGATGATATTAGTCTACCTACGTTTATCGCGTTGTTAAAGAGAGAAATTTGAGTAGGGAAAAGTTGATCAACGCTCCAATTCCATTATTCAACACACTAGCTGTAGCTTAAAAACGACCGAATATACTAAAAAAAAAAGTTACAGCACTAATAGCATTATTAGCAGTGGCAGTAGAGATAGTAAAAGTGTATGTAGTAGACATAGTAGATGTAGTAGAAATAGTAGATGTAGTAGAGATAGTAGATGTAGTAGAGATAGTAGATGTAGTAGAGATAGTAGATGTAGTAGAGTTAGGTAATAGTTATAACAGATGTAACAGATGTAATAGATGCTATTGCAGCGATCGCTAGAGTGCTGCATAGCAGACTTAGTACACTATATATATATATATATGAAACTTTTCCTTCTACAAATTCTAGCAGCCGACCTTAGGCTAAAGTCCCTTATAGAGACAGTAGCATCAGTTCCGTCGAATTTATGTTAGAAGGAAACTACATAAAGCAGAAGTAACAATGTCAATCAATGTAAAGCTACCGAAATTTGCATCACCTAAGGAAAAGCGAATTTACGGCTGCTGGCGCGACTTCGCTCGTGGAGCGCATACTAATTAGCGGTACTTTTAAGACGCTATAAGACGATGATAAAGTGAAGAATACAAAGAAGAAGAAATGTTCTTCGCCACCCGGCATGATAGCACCACAAGCATGTATATGACATGATCTATCACTGCGGCTCTAAATCACACCATGGCGCTAAAGTAATATCATTAGTCTACAAGCCACCATATCTAAGTCAGATGGCTTGAAATTGGTGTCAATCTATTTTCATGAAGACTATCTTCCGCAGGAGTTGTCCTCATATATATATTTAAGTATTGGTTTCACCCGTTTGCGGTTCCTATAAACGCATTTCTCATGCTACTGCTCTTATCATCAATATCTCCTTGATGACCATCAAATATCATGGCTGCTATCAATCAGCCAACCACTCCTATCCGGACTTTTCCTTCCACGTTGAGGTTCTTCCAAGATATAGATAAACACCTGGACTCATTCCCTCGTTTCAGCCACTCAAGTCATGGCAACCGCGGGCCGCATTTGGGTCAAGCCTTTCTTCCCATCTTCGATGTAAGAGAATTGCACAACAGTTTTGAGCTCTATGGCGAATTACCAGGAGTCGAAAAGGAGAATATCAAGATCGAGTTCAAGGGCTCTAAGTCGCTAGAAGTCAGTGGCTTTGTTGAAAACTCGTATCAGCTACCTCCCAACCAGGGCGACGACGTTGATACACCCGATGATGCTACAAGGAAAGATATGAAGACTACAGAGGTAATATGAATTGAGAATGATCTTCATCTGACAATCAAAGAGCTAACTACGAGATCTTGCAGCACGACAGTGTTAAATACTGGGTTGCGGAGAGAAATGTAGGCGAATTCTACCGCTCATTCACTTTTCCGCAGCGTGTCCAGCAGAATGGCACCACGGCGACGCTTGAAAGCGGTGTCCTTACTATACGCATACCAAAAATGCCAGATGATGACTCCGACAGACATGTGATTCCTGTTTCATAAAATCCTATATAGTAAATTGGTCAAATTCGATGTATGGCATTATTAGAAAAGTATGAATTCTCTCTCTTCTTGTCAGCGCTGCGAGTTTGGTTATCACCGATTGAACTATTTTGGCTCATCAGCACCTCACCAGCTCACAAACGGTGTGCGTTAGGCGCTAGTAGTTTTTGATCGAATAGGAATTTGCTACAAAAGATAACAAAGCGATCAATTAACTCATTCTTACTTCACACTTTGAACAGTGACCCAGGTATAGTCCCGGTTCAGACACGGTATGTGCGCCCTATCTCGGATGACGACTTAGATCAGGCAGTTTATCTCCTGATCTCTCTTGGTGGTCTCAAAGCTTATTTACCACCTAAAAACGACCGACAGTCAATCTCGATGATTCCTCCGACGGTAGCTTTGGCTGATTGGTGCAGGTGGGCTGAGCGGTGACTTGACTTTTGGTTTTGTGGCTGATGAGGTGTGAAGCTGCTGATATAAACTTCAACCATCAAGCAACATATAGCAACTCATTCAATTGTACTTTGAATGCTAATTACAGCATATTCGACTTGTAAACTACGCACAAGACAGTACCGTGCATCACTCTGATGCTAATGCAAAAGTGCATAAAAGAGCAGCATTGTAACTTAGTTGTGATTTGTAGACGCAAATGATTTATTTCACTCTCATCTAACGGCAAAATGCCCACATCCCGTATTGCCATTGTTGGAGTCGGTCAAGTTGGCGCTGCGGCTGCCTATGCGCTCATCCTAGGTTCAATCGCTAGTGAATTGCTCTTGGTTGACAAGAATGTGAGCTTGAGAGACGGCCAAGTTTGCGATCTCTCGGATGTAGCGTATAGCTGCAGTAGCCGAACGAAGGTGCGAGCAGCCAGTTACCAACAGGCGGGCCAATGCGATATTATAGTAATTACCGCGGGATCAAGGCACGCTACAGGTAAAGAATTAGGGCAAACCGAAGGATGCCGTTGTTGCTACCCAGGCTTATACAGCTGTAGGCCAGACTGACCCCGAATACGTCCATCGAAATATCTCGACCGTCAGGACCATCATCGACGGAATGATGCCTCTCAAATCAAATGCCATCCTTCTTGTCGTATCGAGTCCTGTCGACTTACTCACATCCCTTGCCCTGCAGATCTCTCAGTTGCCGCCGTCTCAAGTCTTGGGTTCTGGCACGTACTTGGACTCTATACGGCTCCGGGGAATGTTGGCAGATAGGATTGGAGTAAGCAGCCAATGGACACTGCACATGAAATATTTGGCCTATTGCTAACGAGTGTATTAGGTCGCAGCAAAGTCGATTGACGCTTTCGTGTTGGGCGTGCAGGGGGAATCGCAGGTGACGGCCTGGTCTGCCGCAACGATTGGCGGCGTCCCAATCAACGAGTGCCTCTCAAAAGCGGCTTTGATCAACTGTGCCGAATTTTCTCGTGAATGCCAGCACCGATCACAGAGTATAATGCGGGCGAAAGGAACAACGCCATTTGGCATTGGTTCCGCCGTATCCAGCATCTGCTCTTCTATCATCCTAGATAAGGGCGCGATTCATCCAGTTAGCCACTTCCAGCCTTCTTTTGGCTGCTGCTTCAGTTTGCCTGTGGTCTTGGGCAAGGGAGGAATACAGCGAAAAGTTCAGATATCGCTGGACTTTGACGAGGATGTTCAGATAACGGATTCAGCAACGGCACTCAAGAGGATGATTGATCAAGTGCATAATGGGTAGCTAAATACTAATTAAATCTAAAAAGAATAACACGAAGAAGTTAAATAAGAAAGGATAATAATGTGTAAGAGAGCGGTATACAGTAGGATTCTGTTGAACTGTTGAACGTAGCTGCAAGGTATAGATTAAAATTATTGCTACTACTACTGCTGCTACTGCTACTACTGCCACTACTGCTACTACTGCTACTACTGCTGCTACTGCTACTACTGCTATTACTGCTATTACTTCTACTACTGTTACTACTGCTACTATTATGATATCTAGATAATGGATATTAGTGAGAGCATCTCTGAAGGACTGTTTAATTCCACTGTCCGTAAATTCGTTTAACGGACTGTCTTAATACAATTGCTTCGTCAGCTTTAATGTAATTCAGATTCACCACCTAATAGACATATAATCATTTTCAAATCTAAGGTTCCTGAATTTTTCCTTGAAACCGGTTATATGAGTTAAACTCAAGATATATATACCGTATATATAGTATATCAGAAGTATCTGAATACAGTGTGACTATCCACTAGCATAGTTTCGGTACTGTATCACCACATGCTGCATTACCTTTACTACCTACCACAGGATACAGTTTCAAAGGATATCCGATCAGATTGCGATGCAGTTTGGTACATTGGCATTGATTTTTCTTTCTTTTCGCATCTCTGGTACAGGCGTTGTGTTGTCACGATTGTGAAAGCGACACGTGATTTTGCTGTGGTTATGGACACATACCGACGTCAACTTGACGTTATCCACAGAGCGCTGTCATGGCTGTTAAAATAAGTATCCTGGCCCTATCAAAACAATTTTCGCAAGCACGAGGTCGAGCTGAAAGTTTCTATTGGATGCTCTTGTCATTATGTGGTCGCTGATACAGCGTCACCAAATTCGGGCTCATGTAAAGCAAGAGCTCGGACAAAGGACCAAACCAGCACATGAGCCATCAGCCAAAAGCCCTAGTGACCTCGAAGATGCTCGGCACCCATCTGTAAGTCCTAGCGGGAAATCTCGGTCAAATGGCGCGGCAGCAGGCAATCAAGACTCGGATGAGGAACAACCGAGCAGTTCGGCCAAGGAGCAGCAGCAGCAGCAGCACATCTTGGTCAAAAGCGAGCCCGGAGATCCTCTCAACCCACAGAACTGGCCGCTGATTTCCCGATGCAAGAACATTGCCATTCTATCGATTCTCATCTTCGTCCAAGGCTGGGCAGGTGCTTCCGAATCAATGGCCAACTCGGTGGCCAGTTCAAAGTTCCATGTCAGTCGAACCGCCCAGAACTTAGACACGGCGATGTATCTTTTCGGCATCGGGACCGGCGCTCCATTTACGGGGCCGTTGTCCGAGACGGTGGGGAGGAATCCCGTGTACTTGGGAGCGACTTTCTGCTACCTCTTCTTCGTCTTCGGCTCAGCCATGGCAACGACTTTTGGAGGCCGCATTACGTGCCGCTACTTTGTGGGCCTGTTCTCCAGTGCCACTCTGGGAATCAATGGATCGAGTGTTAGAGATCAGTTCAGGGATGTGAAGAGGGCATTCGTTTTCCCGATAATAGCTTGGGTTAATGTAATAGGTAAGTTGACGATGCCATCTCATACAAGGTCAATCAACAGACGCTGATGTTTATTCTTTTGGCAAAGGCCCTTTAGCTGCTCCTGTAGCAAGTGGATGGCTGGTATCCAATCCCAGCTTGGGCTGGCATTGGCCCGACTGGATGACTTTGATCATATCCGGTGCGGCATTCTTTGTTGCGTTATTGTTTCTTCCAGAGACATACTTGCCACTGCTTCTGGACTGGAAAGCAAAAGAACTTCGACGCGCAACCGGCGATGTGCGGTTCACGTCCGAACACGCAATGGCAGCCAACTTCTTCAGTCGCCTGAAACACAATGTAAAACTTGGCATTACCTTTTACCGAACGGAAATCATCGTAACGGTGTTGGGGTTGTACCTACTACTGTTGTACACGCTGCTCTTCACCTCCCTCTCAGGCTTTGACTTCATCTTCAAGGACACATACCAGCTGTCTACCGGGCTAACCGGCAGCTGCTTTGCCTCCATTGCGGTGGGATCAACCGTCTTCACACTCAGCGCGCCCGTTTTATATAACTGGGCTCGCAGCGACACGGAACATGTGCACGGCGCACATGTCGAGCCCGAGTTCCGCCTATGGCCTGCCATTGTCACGGCACCCATGCTGCCCGTCTGTCTTTTCTGGCTCGGCTGGACCAACTATCCTCGTATATCCATATGGTGCGGATTAGGCGCTTGTTTTGTCTTTGGCGTCGTCTTGACTGCCTTCTACGTGAGCAGCTATGAATACATCATAGACAGTTACGGCGAGCACTCGGCCATTGCTCTTGCAAGCGTCACCGCTGTCCGGTATTTGGCCGCGGGAGGAATGGTCATGGCCACTCGTCCAATGTACTCGGCCATTGGCGTACACTGGTCATTGACAATCATGGGCTGTGTTGCAGCTATACTGAGCCCGGCACCCCTTTTACTTTGGCATTATGGTCCCAAGCTCCGGAAGAGGAGCAAGTACGCAAAGGATCCATAGCGATAGATGCATATATAGCGTCCTGCTTGATAGAAAAGAATAAAGAAAGAATTAGATTGGTACTAGAATTCAAAAGCGTAGAAGCAGAGGACATGATGTTGGCTAGAAATCCGCGATATCAGCCTCAGCGTAAAGTGGTAGCAATTGAGTAACAGCAATTCAACGCTCGTGGACAAGAGCGGAATCGCTCGCTGGCTGGCTAAGCCGTAGATAGACGGCGATATAATTATGTAAGCCAACCACATCCTATTGTCCCAATCCGGCTAGACGCATCATGCTCCGTCAGATGAGATCTTGAATCTCAGGCTTGCCGCAAGTGGGCAGTTCAGTGCGTATCGCATCCGTCATACTGAAGCTACCATGTTAGGGGCTGGGGATAGATAGACCACGCTGTCTGACATGTTGCCGGAGGAACGTCGCGACGAGATGACACGGTAGCCAATGAATGAGCCTCTTTCCTTATCGTGCTGGCAGTATCTATCTCCTCGCATATAATAAGCAGTCAGTAGTACGTGGTGCTGGACACTCACCGATTCTAAGCAAAGCAGGGAAGACAGGATACGATATCAAGCCGCAGTGAGATGCCCTTGAAAGGAGGAAGCAAAGACAAGCAAACATCCAGACATACACTAGACCTAGTACAAGCAAGGTATCTTATCAAAAGACCCGACCTGCCAGGGCCAGCTGCAGGATTGCCAGGCCGCTGCATCGCTGCATCCCTAGCATCAAGCGTCCAGCGCCTCGTTTCTCATTTTCTACCGTTAACCTCTCTTTCCGGTATCTATTCAGTGCGGGCGGCTCCACTCCCCCATGCCCGTCAGACCGGCTCGGTAACGCGGTGTGAAAAGGCCCCCATTTTTCCCAAGGCCCGGCGTCATCCGCCTGTCAAAAAGGCTTCGAGCTTCATGCTGCTGCACACCACGAGTATGTAATGATTGCCTAACAGATTTGCCTGGAAAGGGAAAGGCCTCGGGGTTTATTGGAGGTCATGCTTCTTGTTTGTATGAGATTCAAAACGATCTGACTTTAGGCCCCCCCTGGTTGGCTTGGAGAGAAGCAAGTGCCGGGGGAAAAGTTTGCCAATAGGCGGCCTTGTTCTTCATCACGAGAGCGGTTGTCTTGCCAAGCCGAATTACTTCATCGCTTCATAATGAGAGACTCGGGCAGAGACATTGGAGAAGAAAGAGGAAGAGTATGGGTGACTTCATATAACTCATGTGTCGAAACAGCGAGGTGCATGCAGGCCCTCACTCGCAGTAATGCCTACTTATGCATATTTTCGGAGACTTCACAGATACTACCCCGACCTTCCTCATCCGAGCCCGCTTCTCCGCCGTATTGCTGTTTGCAGTCGTTTGCTCTTCGACCTGAGCTTCAAGGGGCAGATCGCCAGCCAGTAAGAGCCAGGCGCATCATGCAGGCATGCACAAAGGGCCCTGATGCTGGTCCTTGTACCTACTGTACCACTTTCAATAGAGGTAGTACCTACGTCGCTGTCCGAACCACGACGTCTCCGGGCGCTGCGCACCTGACCTCGAGCTGGCGCTCATCACAAACTGCAAAGTTCCAGATGGCGCGCTAGGGGCCGCAACTAGCCGGCTAGCTACGTAACGGGAGTGGCAACGAATGCTTTGTACAATGTGTATTACTGCTGCATACTTGTAGTAGTAGCTGGTAGTGCATGGGACTATGGAGTCTCGTGTTTCTAAACTTGGTCATTGATGGGAGGGCTGGGGCTGGGGGGATCGAAAAGAGAAGCAGGGTGGAAGCCGGCAAACATGGGGAATGCCACGCGCTAGGAAGGGGGAGGGGCCTTCCATGTTTGCTGAAATAGACGATAGACAGGGTCTGCCTCTCGTCTGCGCAAAGTAACTTATACCGTGCTGCCACCGCCATCGTTGTCTTGCTCCCCCATCTTCTCCTCCATCTTAGATTGAACACAGCTTGTATTCTGGATAACAAAAGAGCAAAGAAAAGGCATCCTTCCAGTTCATCAGTATACTATCCACCAAGAGCAACAGTAAAACCACAATGGGCTCCCTCGTTTCCACAATGGGCTCAAAGAGCTCCAAGACTGCCGCCACGAACCCCGAAGGCAAGCCGCGGTACTGGTACCGAGACAACTTTTTCCTCACAAACGACAAGACGTATCTCGAGCCTCAGGCCATCAATGCCGTCTTCGACTCCGACCTCATGTGGTGGAACGACCCGCTGCCAGAAGGCCAGATGCGGAAGATGATATCCAATTGCATGACGATGAGCATATACCACGTTCCCGAGTCAGAGAAGCAAATGCAGAGTGCGTTAATCCTTTTTGCCCTTTCTTGTCGTCCCTGTGTGGATTTAGCTCGCCAAATTCGTTGTACTTTAGAAGCTGACTGTTTTTCTTTTGCGTCCAATAGAAAGCGGAGCGCCTCGGCGACCACACGGATCCGATGTAAAGCTCGTCGGCCTCGCTCGCGTCGTGACCGACTACGTCACATTTGCCTATCTCACCGACGTCTTTATCCTTGAAGAGTTCCAGAGGCGCGGGCTTGCCAGCTGGATGATGCAAGGTCTGAAAGAACTCGTCGAGGAGTGGCCGAACCTGCGAGGCCTCGTCCTCATGACGCACGACAAATCCGCCGCAAAAATGTACCAGCGCGAGCTGGGAGCTCTCGATTGGGACCAAGGCCCGTCTGCGGGATTGGTGCTGCTGGAGATGCCCGGTGGCGGCGTCAAGGATATCCCAGAGGATCACAAATGAGACTGGCGGTTCTTTACTCTGCCTAGTCTTTTCGTTTTCCGTTTCCACCTAGTATCTCGCGTTTCTTCTTCCTTTTTTTTTCAGCATTGCATAGTCTCGAGTGGTATATACCGGCGAGGCACGGTTAGCTTTTGCACATTGGGCTTTTTGGATATTATTTTTCTCTTCTTGTTTTCTTTTTCTTCATTTATATCTTCCCCTGTGTCTCTACACTTTGGCGGGTTTGGATAACCCAGCCCGGATTTCGAGGGCTCTCTTGTATGGCGGAGCGATGGGAGGCTGGACAGGATCTAGAGAGACGTAGTCCTCGGGAAGCTGATATGAAGCGTCGGAGTCAAAGGCTGATAGATCGCCGCAAGCAATAAAAGGTGCAATCCAGCGTGCTCCATTTCCCATGTTGTTCCCTTCAACCTCGTCATAAACCTCCACTTCCGTGATTCCGCTCTCGTGTGATGTCGCCGGCGTTGATACAGTGCTGCAGTCCCAAGTTCCTCTTTCTGATTGCATGGTTGCTTCAGCGACAATTGGAAGCTGCATCTCCCTCTCTCGCACCAGCGTATCCAGGCGCTGCCCTACTCCCAGCGGTTCCTCCAGACTGGCCTGGAAGCCCGCCGGCGGTCGGAAGTTCAAGCATACAATGAAAGCCTCCACACTGCTCGCTCTGCTACTTCTCGGCTTCGCCACAATGACTTTTTCAAAGAAGATTTTGAGCTGCGCATACAGAATGTCCACGTTTCGGCCACGGAAGATCTTTGCGACAAACTTGCCGCCCGGCTTCAGCACGCAAAGCGCGAGATTGAGCGCCGCGAAAAGAAGCTGCGACTGCACGTATATGTCGAGGTCGTGAAGGCCCGTGACGTCGGGGGCGCCATCGCTAAGAACGAGATCGACGGGATGCTGAGCTTGGGTGCCTGCCACGGCGGCAGGATCGTACGATGGGTCGAGCGCGGAGAGGAGCAGAGGCACAGTGGCGGGATGTGTAATGTCTGCTCGCAAGGTTGTGATGCCGGCGAGGGGAGAGATGGGCTGGAGATCGATGGAGACGATTTTGACGTCTCGGCTGGCTGCTGCTTCGACTCCATTGTTTTGCGCCGCATCATCGCCAGACAAAGAGGTGGAGGTTTCTATTGATTCTTTCTGTTCTGTCGTGAAAGCTTCGGGGAACACACCGAGCATTTGCTGGCGCACTTTGGCGTCGCGATCCTGCCATGCTGAACGGCCGAATTTCTCGCCTTTGATGAGCACTCGAGAAAGGACCTGGGACCAGGAGCCGGGAGCGGCGCAGAGGTCGACGACGCGGGATACGTTTGAGAAGAGGTCGAACTCTGCGGGACAGAAAATAATTTAGTAATTGGTAGGCTATAGGATTCGAGGTTGAGGGGAGATATTGTGTACCTTCGTCAAGCTGGAGAAGCTTGAATGCGCTTCTTGCACGCCATCCTTGCTCTTTGGCGAGCCGGTAGTAGGCGTCGCGCTTATCTTTGGAGGATTTACCCATTGGTATAGAATCCCGTAGTATTGTTCTCTGGCTGCGGTAAAACCCAAAGTTGCAGCGTTGGAGAAATATAGCGGGACGAAAAAAGAAGTAGTGGGATATTTCATGTGCAACTTTTTCTGCCCCGCGATGTCATTTTCGGTGGTCTAACTAAGGTCCAGCCAGGTACGGGACCTACCTTTGTGGCGCTGTGGGGCAATGCCCATCTACGCCAGAAAGCGATTGTTACTCCTGGCTCTACTACCCTGGATTCTGATGCAAAGTTACAGCGCGATGGCCAATTGCAAATACTTTGCTCTTAAATAGACGTGAAGATCTTGGGAATGTCTAGACTTGAATTTGGGTTTATTATATCGAGTCTTTTGTTGAAGAATAAGGCGAGGTATATCAGTATATTGAACTGGACCCTCGTCTATATTGGCTGTTGTCTTTTTGAATACTTATTCTAACCAAATCGCCATACATCTTCTATTACTTGCCGATTCCTATCTATGTCAAACACGCTGAAAACCAGTAAAGCAACATTGTCTTCTTAAACAGCTCCAAATTCACCACCGACAATCTCCAACGCCTGCCTCAAAAGCGACAATACCTTCTCATCACCATGCACTCCCAACGCCTTTACAATCAAGACGTATAACCTCAACAGATGCTTTCTGCTTTCGCTCTTAGCCCCTTCAAGAGGTGATATCGCCTCGCTCTGGCTCTGCAAGTCAACCACTTGTTGTAGGGTCCATAGCAATTCCTTTCTCTGGCTTAGAGGCTGTGGCATTTTGCCTCGAAGCGGCTGGTCAGACACATAGGCGCGGAGCGTCAATGCGCATCGTAGAACTAGATATGGTGCTGCGGAACAAGCAATGCGGGTTCTACAAGCAGAGTAATCTGTCATAGGCTTAGCAGCAGATGGCTTGTGAGCAGTCGGTTCGTCCACTGAAATGAGCAGGAAGAGTTCTTCAAATGCGACATAGGCCATCTTCGTGCGCAGTGTCGGGGGATCGGATATTGTGCGCCCGGTTCGTGGTATATATAGCTTAGACAGTCCAGCTTCTCCATCTTCAAGGGCAAGCTTGTCGGCCGACGGCGGTTCATGGATGATTGATGTCTTGAACAGGCTTTTAGTGTATGCGCTGCGAGTTTCTTCTTTCACCTTTTCTGATCCTATCAGAGGGATGATCAGCTCCACCAACTTGTGGAAAGAACCAATGTCTGTTGCTTCATCATCTCCAATGTCCGTTCCGGGTGGTGTTTTGCTGCAATCAGCGCTGAGAATGCCATCTGCAATCTCAGCAATCAATTGCCAGATGTCTTGGATTGTGGATGTGGGAATGTCAAGATCATCGAGCTTTGATAGTGTTGCTTGTATGACCACCAAAGCAGTAGAAGTCGCCGATTTCCACGGCTGAATAGTTCTCGTGGTAATGGGAAACTGGTATTTGAGAGAAATTGGCTTGCAGAGGGCAGATAAGGCGGTGACGACCGATCCGCTCTTATAGATATCTGCATCCGATGAGTGGCTTACAACAAGGCTCTCCAGCATCTGCATACTGGCTTTTGACATGGCAACATATGTTCTCTTTGACACAGGTCGGGACTCGTAGTCTTGATCATAGGCCAAGGTTACAAACTCGGCCACTTGCACGATCAGGGCCGATGGCACCCCGTCGATATCGGTCCGAATCATTTTCACCGCATCTAATATTTGTGCCTGAAGCTGCGTCAGGTTATCGATATCTGTGGCATAGCTCCCTACAGAAGCTTCTTCAACAGTCTTTCGTAGCAAAGCAAGGATTCGTTGAACTCTCTCCACGGTTAGATCAGACTTAATAAGCCGGTAAACTTCTCGAAGAGCCGCCACATATGCAGTCAGGCAATTTTGGTTGTCTGGAATCTTCCCATCGGGTGCTTTAGTAATTGGGATACCACGAGACCATAGATTCCAAGCGAATGTAACCGTTGTCTCGTTGAAAACAAGCTTGTCCTCATCACCCGACTGAGAGAGCACATGCCCCAGCGTTTTAAACGTTGCAGTGTTTATATCGAGGACCTGAAAGTCGAGCAACGTAGCCAAGTGCTCAAGCAGCTCATTCCAAAGCTTATTGAACGATGAGTGTGCTGTCAATACCTCCAGATTGTTTCCAAGCAACGTTGATATGCCATTTAGCACAACCACCGCGGTGTCATGCCACTCCAGCCTATCGGTTTTAGCAGTTTCTTCTTCCGCAGTTCTTCGTAACTCCTCTTCAAGCGAGGTTAGCAGTTTAAACACAACTGACTTGATGCATATTGACCAAGCTTCAGGACTGAGTCTTTCGCCATATGCATCAAAGATTCGGAGCAGGGTTTGGATTGCGGTATTGCGAAGCTCAACCCTATCGTCTGAGGCGACAGCTGTAAGCCTCAAAAGCAATAACATCCATAAGGCGGCGCCAGATCCTCGACCACCGTGGTCTGCTGCTAAGCGCTCTAGCGTGTCCACATCAGCGTCTTGAAACAGGTCAGTCGTTATGTCGAGTGACTTGTCCTTGCCAGATAGGAAATCAGAGAGGGCCCAGAAAAAGGTCACAGTCTAAAGTAAATTTGATTAGTGACATAGGTCCCTAAATCTATGCGGAATCAGGTCCAGACTCACCGTCAATGCAATATTCAGATCGTCGTTTTGTGAACTGAATTTGTAGAGTGTGTCGACTAGAATCAAGAAGCATGAGTTGGGCAATGATGGTAGAAAATCTGAGCAAATGAGCTGAAGTGAGCTGAAAGAAGACCGTACAAGTTTGGAAGATCGTGTGCCGAGGTTTCGAGCACCGATAACTGATTCATGGTCCTCTTCCAGATTCTCTTCTCTCGTTATGAAAACACTTCCGATGATATCAAACGTGACATCCCAGCCGCTGACTAGAGTTTGCCCACAGTCTTCAATGATACTTCGCAGGCCATCCAAAATAATTCTATGGATTTCAACATCGGTTGTCGCATTTGCAACAGAGATATCTCGGCCGCCTTTCTGCAAAGATTGCAATGAGTCGCGGAGTGCTCCCAGCAATCTGAGTTGAATCGCCCCTCGAACTTCAGGGGATTGCGCGCCCGCAGCAGTAGCTGCTTCGAGCGCTAGCTTTGCGAGAATCTCTGAGGCTCTTGTTCTCACTGGTGGGCTAATGACGCTCGAGTCTAACGTCTGAATCAACTTCTGCATCAGGGGATCCCAACCTGATTCTTTTGGATCGTATGCCAACAGGCGTTCTAGATTGATCATGGCAATCTCCCCGAGCTTGGCTAGTGCAAATTGAAGTTCTTGATTGGATGTTGTCGAAGATTGGCCAGAGAAGCTGAGCACCCGCCGATGTTGTCCAGATGGGGCTTTGCCCTGCTGGCTCTGCTGTGGCTGTTCTTTGTTTGGTGTGCTTGAGTTTGTTTGGCTCTCATCTGGCAGTAAGCCGCAGATGGCTTGAACCACCTCGATAAACGACTCGTTGGGAAAATCAACACTGCTTTCGATCAATCTGGAGGCGGCTGTTTCCACTGATCGAACTTCGGTGCTGAAGTTTACCATGAGCGAGTTGGCTTCTGTTTCGTTCTGGTAATCTTGTCCGCCGCGACCTAGAGACTGAGTTCTCCCTGGGGCTTTTCCGGTAACATAGAGGACAAAGTCTGCCTGCTGTAGTGTCTCTAGTATGATACCCCAGGCGAGCCCAAGCGTCGGACCAAGTGCGATGCCAAGATTGAGTAGAGCTCGCAGACAGAGGAGGTTACGTGTATTTAGAGTGATTGATGCATCCATGGACCCTTGTCGCTGCCTCTCAGTAGGACTCGACACCTGTGCCAAGCTTTCGACGCTGAGAAGGCCCCGGGCATTGCTAAAAACGCTGTTCGGAGTTTCCGTTGGCGTGGTGGCTACCGATCGTGACTGGCCGGCATTGACGCATGCGCTCAGAATGTTCGGAGGCACAGCAGCTTTTCCGAGTGTAGATAGGAAAGCATCTCGCGGCGTTGTAAGCTGCAACAGGCCTGCAACATGGGCGAATCGCTGAAATGCACGAACCAAGCCGTGGTAATACTCTGAATCCAAGGCGGCGTATAAAAAGGTCGAACATGTTGCCAGAATAGCAGGCCAGCACTCGTTGACGATTTCTGAGCAAATCTTGACCTCTGAATGTGCAGGATGATCTTCCTGTTCTAGAGGATTAATCGGCACGGGATTTCTCTTAAATGAAGCCGATCGTTCCCGCAATCCTCCGCGAGGCGGCGCTTCTGCTTCTAGCTGGGACGGAGCAGGTGAGCTACGCCCCATATCCTGCCTCGATGTCTTTCTCCGAGCTCTATTCTCATTAGGAACTGTAAGAGGTAGGATAAACTTGGCAAGCCCGTCTGACAGTGATGAGAGACATGCTAGTATCAAGCTGTAGATGTACGATTCGGGAATAGCCGGTGCTTCGGTTTTGTCCAGCTGGTCTATACAAGGAACGCGAACAGAGCTCCATTGTATGCTGATTCCTACGTTGGAGCTCTCCGATCCAACAGAGCCGCTGATGATTCCAGTGACACTAGTAGCTTCGATCAAGGCTGGATCTGCAGATAGGCCAGAGCTTCCAGAAGGATCGGCCATTGGCATCGTGGATTGATGCCCTAGACCAATTACTGCCGGCTTCTCAGTACTGACTCGAACAAATGTCGCAGTAAGTGTTTTGATGATGTCTTTCTCGCCCTCCTTGGCGTCATACATGGCGAATATGCGACGGACAAGGGCATGTTCAGCAAATATGCCGCGAAACACTTCCATGCACAACGCTCGCTTCCAGACAGCGGTATCTTGGTCCAAGAGGGTTGTAAGCAGCAAGAGCGCATCACCACACTCTGAAGGTAAGACGCTAATATGGCGGCGCAACAGGGTGTAGAGAATGCGTACGAGCCTCACAGTTGTGGCGAACGATGGTCTCCCTTTAAGAGCACTCATCAAAAGAGGCATAACGCGCTCGCGGAGAATATGGGTTTGCTCAGGATGGCTCGTAAAGACGGCTGCATGATTTGTGATGACTGACTCGATCAACTCTAACCCAAATGTTTGCTGCAAGCCAGAAAACCGTAAAAACTCGGACCGTTGGTTCTCGGTCAAGAGGCATAGGTCATTGAAAATCTGGCACAGTTAGCTTAGACCCAAATGCCTGCTGAAGTGGATTGGTTGCTAACACGATAGGCATCCAAGGCGGCGGCGCGAAGCTCTACTTTACCGTCCCCGGATGGCGCTTCTCCCGCAATAGGGGCATCATTATTGTTCTCTGATTTAGTTAGAATAGATGGATAAATGGACAGCAGATCAGAAGACTCACTATCTTCGCCAACTACTTTATCAAAGACTGAAACCACTAGCTGTTGGAGGGTAGCAGCTGAGGTATTATTCACAATGGCATTCTTGCTACTCTGTAAGATGAAGCAGATATTCAAGGCAGTGACAAGAAGATCGCCATTCAAATCTGACGAGTAGTTCTGCAGCAGCGAAGGTAACGCTTGCAAGATCTTTAACTGAACATCAAGCCCAGCCGATGATGCCTGCATCAAAGCCTCCAAGACCTGGTTGAGCTTCGCCCTGGGCAGCGCTTTCGCAACGATAAGCCGCTGCAGACAAACTATTGCAATGCCGGTGAATTTTGCATTCTTGGTTCCACATGCGATTATGAAGGGATTCACAAAGCTGGGCTTTTGGGAGAGCACTGAGAGGTTCAAGTCAGTAAAGCATCGCTTCCATTAGAGGGATCCACTAGCACATACGCTCAGGAGCTGTGGCTTCAGACACAATGCCAAGGCCTTTCAGCTCCTCTAGGGATCTTTCAGCTGCCTAATGAAGAAATCTGTGAGCAAATAGGAAGCCACAAACTTCAAAAAGCGAAGCCACAACAAAAAGAAATGCATACCTGTCGAAGGTCACTGTGTTTCCGCTTGCTCTCCTGAATGAGATTAGCTAGCTCCGTGGCCAGAAGCTGCGTCGTCATCTTGAGTGAGGCCGAATAGTCCGCCCATGGGCGTTTAATGTAAGTGCAGCTTTTATATCGCGTTTATGCAGTTCCAGTGCGTCATAAAGGGTGGTTGCGACAAGATTATGCTTCTCACGAGCTTTAATCAAGTTTCATACAAACACCAGGGACAGCGCAACGGTGTCGCATAGGTGGTATGCTTGGGTGCATCATAGCGGCAGAATTAGCTCACCGCCTTTGTACTCTTCCATTATAGTACTAGTCGCGAAGCACTGGGATGCGACGAGCTGCTATCTAACGTACCTAAGGTAGGTATAAAAATAATATAAGAAAATATAAATATATACTTTACTATATATTAAATTAGACTTAGTAGGTACTCTCTCTAGCTGTGCTTTTCCGGCTCTCTCCATGAGTTCAAGAGGCTGATAAGAGATCTATTCAGGGATCAATACTTCTCAGAAAATCATATATTTTAAAGTACAAAGTTATCTCGCGCACTAGATATCTCAACATAAGCCACGGTCAATACTTGCCCCGTCTATAACGCTCAAATCATTTAATTCTATGCTGAATTCTCAAGTATCGCGATGCGCTTTTTGTTGCACTAAACACGCCTCGTTCTATATACCTTGGCCATAAATCATCCTATCATACCCGCATACAACATATTTCCACCTCTTTCTCGTCTCTCAGCTGCCTACCCTCTCCAGCGGAGGATTTACGATGGCGCTTACTATAACATTTGAGTGCCCATGCATGCCTGACAGTATTGCACACCCTAGGTTTGGGAGGATATGGTGTGCCAAGCTTATAGTACTTGTCAAAAGCACTGTAAGTAGTGGCAAGGGGCCGCACATGATCTATGATCTGAGTTGCCAGTAACTATGTTTTTGGGGAAAGCATTCTATGCTATTCTCGACAAATTGAAGAGTTTTTAAAAGGAAATTTCGTCACATCCAGTTATCCCAAGTATTGGCTGGCACAGTATCTAACCAAAGCCTAACCATACCACGCAGCCTTGGATAAGTGTTAGCAAAGCTTTCTGACCACGGATGGAGTGATGGCATACCAAAATTTTAAATCAAGTAAAACAACGTTTCAAAGAAACCGAATTAAACAGGAACATTCGTAAAGAGATATGATACCGATTCACCATTGTGGGTTCGTCGAATAGCCTATCAGAGGTCAGCGTAATGAAGAAGACAGCGGGTACACATGGTCATACCTCAGCAAGCGTGCCAGCTACGTCGATGACCTTGATTTTAGGGCATCGCTCAGTTTTATCGCCAACTGCATCACACCTAGTTAGATTATAGACAGTTACACGGGAAGCGGTGTTATGGAACGTACGAGGAACAGCTGGATTATACGTTAGTTATTCGTCGTTAAAAGGAATGTCCAACTTCATTCGATATCACTTACTGTTGGTGACAACAAGGCCAGATAGGCAAGAGTTGTTGATAGTCTCAATAGCCTTGCCACTGAGGATACCGTGTGTGACAATGGCAAACACTTGACGCGCGCCGTGCTGGTTGAGGGTCTCTGCTGCCTTTGCGAGCTGTGGGAATACTGTTAGCTGCATGATTATGAAATATCGAACGTTGAACAGTCACATACAGTTCCGCAAGTGTCTGCCATGTCGTCCACGAGAATGGCGACCTTGTCCTGAACATCGCCGACGAGCACCATTCGTCCAACAACGTTGGGTCTTGGGCGCTCCTTGTGGATCAGAGCAAAGCCAGTGTTGAGACGATCAGCAATCGAGGTGGCACGCTTCGCACCGCCGGCATCAGGAGAGACGATGATGCAGCTTTCGGCATCCAGGTTCTCACGAATCCATCGCAAGACCGATGGTTCGGCATACAAGTTATCTACGGGGACATTGAAGAAGCCCTGGATCTGCGAGGCATGCAGGTCCATAGTAATGACATGGTTCTAAAGGCATGTTAGATCTTCAATCACAATCAAAGGAGGGGCATGAGTTTAACGCACACATCCTGAAACTTGCAGCATGTTTGCTATAAGCCTAGCGCTGATGGGAGCACGGGATTTGTCTTTCTTGTCCTGTCGTGCATAGGGGAAGTTGGGGATGACGGCTGTAATACGTCTAGCCGACGCAGTGCGGCAGGCGTGAATCATGATGAGCAATTCCATCAGGCCATCGTTGACATCGCCAGGTGCCGTCGACTGAAGAATAAAGACATCTTCATCTCTAACAGACTCGCCAATCGACACACTGGTCTCTTGGTTGGAGTAGTTGAGGCTCATAGTATTGGCGATGCTGATGCCAAGTCTGCCGCAGAAAAATCAGTCCGGTTCTTGTAGACCACTGACTCATCTGTCCCATATCTCATTTTCCTTCATCCTTTCATTTCCATTTCAACAGCCACCTTACTAGACATACCGATTAGCGACCAGAGCACTGAGCTCTGGGTGGGAGCTCCCAGATATGAGCTTGATTTCGTTCGCCATTTGGTCCAACATCGTTAGTGAGGAAGCAGAAGTTCTCTCTGCAGGGAGGAAAAAGTAGAGAAAAAAATTTAGTGGGGACGAATAAGTGCTATGGTAAGTGGTGAGGATGCAGGAAGAAGCAAAGCAAAATCTGTGATGGATGAAAGAGAAAAATGGTAGAGGTATGTAGTTTGCTGTTGATGGCAATTGAAGTCAAAGAAGAGTCTAAATTGACTTTTTTTTCCTGCTCCGACGATCGCCGCCGTGACGAAAGTTTGCAGCGCAGACTTGTTAGACGCCAGTATGGAGTACCAGCAGCAGATTGACGCTCGGGGCAGTCATGTGACAGCGCCTCTGCATGTTTCTCTGGCACTGTACGGAGTATCTCGGATTTTCGTTTGTAGTAAATGCGGGGAGACAATCGCCACAAGTACTTGGGCTCGACGCATCTTGAAGTAAGCCGCACTGCTCACCGAGTCCATGAATCATATCCGCGAACTATCAGAGCTATGCCGCAGCTAGTGTTACGAGCCTTTAATGTTCTATTTATGCTGTGATTTCTTGTACAACAGAAATTTGAAGAATAATTGGATGCGAACTGTGCTTTTGGAGCATGTCATGATATGATACACCTGCCAAGGCGGCACTCAATTGGATCTGCCGGAAGGCGGATGATAAGGCAATTCACCGGCCTCAAAATTGATTGGTGATGCTTCAGACGGTGGTATATGAGTTCCGTTGTTAGCTGCAAACCATTCCGTGAGCGCCGGCTATAGTGCCATCCAGTTTAACTCTACTTTTTGTACGGAATACTCTACCTTACAGACAGCCATGTCTTCTGTTAGGCAATCTCCCTCTCATCGGCCGCGGCGACCTAGCTATTCTGACTCAATGGCCTGTTTTTCTCTTGACGAAACTTCACTCGAGTTTCGTCAGCTGCGCCTGCTCGTGGCTGCCACGGGAACCCGGCACTCTTCGTGGGCTCAACCGCTCGTGGTGCGACTTTCTAAGGATCGCCGTATAGAGATGAGAGCTGTGGTTGATGATCCTTCTCCGAGATTGAACCAGCTGGTCATCACCATTCAAAACTCACCTCTAGGCGGTGCGCAGCTTGATTCAGAAGGTTCTCTTCTCAGGCAGTCTGGACTAAACATCTGTGATCTAGTCGACTGGGCTGATCTCCTGGTTTGTGTACCGCTTGATATGAACAGCATTGGCAAAATGTTGGCCGGAGTGGCAGACACCTTCCTTGAAGACCTCTTGAGAAACTGGAACAAGGCCGAGAAAGGTGTGATTATGGTGCCTGGAATGGATGACAGCATATGGCTAAGTCCACTGGTCCAACAGCAGCTGGATGACCTCCAGAGAACGCGGCCTTGTATCCATGTCATGGAGCCCATATTATGGCACTATGAAGATGCGGCACATCCTCAGCAGGCCACAAACTGGAGCGGATTTAGACATTTACTCACTCTCATCCAGAATCAAGCCGATTTACTAAACCTTGGTCGAGACGTCGAAGGGGCTACGAGAACGGTTGCTGTACCAAATGGCACACAGGCTGCCCCGGGGCTACCGTTCGAGTTATGGAGTAAAATACTGAGCTTGACGGGAGATTGGGAGCTGGCTAATGCATTGGGTATCGGAACCAATCTTCCAATACCAACGGAATGGAACATGCAGTCCGGCGGTTTGGGCAATCCTTTACTCGTTTATACCCACGAGCTGAACTGGACGATCCTCTCGAGCAACACGGCTGCTATATGTGCGAAATTATCTGAAGCACCAGCAGATTTCCACATCTTGCCAGTGCTAGCTGTAAAACTGATAATACGATTCGCCCTTGTCGAAGTCCTTGCTTATCTGGAAGCCAATCACCCGCGGCTGTTCAAGGCGTTTGATGGCGCTTTCCTTCCAACAAAAGCATCGGCATACTATCCCCAGATCGAGATTCTGGATTACTGGAAAAATAGCCGACATTTTCAGAACCGACATGTATACGGTACAGAGGCCATAGATGGTGGGTCTAAAAACGGCCATGTGCAAGTATTGCAGTGGTGGAAGCAGTCGGGGCTACCCCTGCTGTATACCAAAGTCTCGTTGGAACAAGCGAGTAGCAATGGTCATATCCCGGTTCTTGATTGGTGGCTAGATACTGCAGCCCGAGACCATAACATTACCTTACACTCGGGAAGGTCGCTGCTATGGGCCGCGAGAAATGGCCACGCAGACGTGCTGCGCTGGTGGCATGCTTCTGGGATAAGTGTCGGATACGAAGGCGGCGTAGCCTTGGTAGCGAGCAAATATGGGCACGTCCATGTCTTGGAAACGTGGCGCAAGTTGAAAGGCGACGAAAATGTCGTCTTTGATGCGGAAGAAGTAATCTTTACAGCAACAGCCTACGGACGAGTCGAAGTTCTGGAGTGGTGGCGCCAATTTTCGCAGGGTCAGCTTGATGATATGGATGGGCAAGGGGTGGAAGTTGTCTTCCGAACGCATAAGATCCAAGAGGCCGTCAAGGGTAATTCCGAACATAAACTAGGAGTTCAAGAGTGGTGGTTTCGTTATAGACTAAGTACGGGGAATAGTTCTAGAGAAGGATGGCCTCCCCATCTACGTCTCTGAGTGTTTGAGACGGAGTATACATCACAGGGTAATACTACTCAGCCCTCTATTTCTGTGTATGAACGTTGTTCAACGCTATGACTATACGGTTAGCTATCTTGGGATGGTTTTGATCCAGTCAACACAATGGCTGACTTAGTCATACAATGCCATTTAAATACCTGTTTGCCTGTATCCTCCCCCTTATTGAGGCTCAATTATCTCCCCATAATCTATAAGTATGACAGTCCGGAGTAGTGTTAGAAGCTATCCTTTATACTGGATCCAGCCCTGATTTTCACTCTCCAGCACGTCTAGTAGCTGTCAAATTCTGAGCTACCAATACCAGGCGTTTCGGCGCGTGGCGAAAGTGCAAATGATGGATCAGGTTCCTAGCGTAGCGGCCTCCACTCTGCTATCGAGTCATTCCCTTCCCCGTTGCCCTGCGCTCCGTATTACAGTTTTCCCTAGGCCAATAAGTTATTGGAAATTGAAATGAGCTCCAGGCTAAGCTGTGGCCGACTGAGACTTCAGACGACTCTTGACGCGCACATGGCGCACTCCCGAGCGAGGCGTAGCTTCATGCAAATGAACAGGGCATCTCTCTTTTTGAAAGCGTAACTAATATACTTGAGCACTTAACTCCAGGATTATTGACCAAGATACAGAAAGCAAACAGGCGCAAGGGAGTAAGAAGAAAAAAAGAAAAGAAAAAAATAAGTTCTTCTACACGAACGGGCCAGTTAAGGGGCCGTGCTGCAATAGATCGATCCCGTTATGGCAAGTCAACGGGCTCCGCATTGAGCCGTAATTATATCGGCATGGATAAAGAGACGAATCACGCGCACGAACTGACCAGGAACAGGAAAATGACGTTGAAGATTAGCGTTCGTAGGGCAATTCTACAAGTTGACTGGCCGGCAAATATAACAAGCGCTATAATTGTTGCTGTCCTCATGGCCAGCACGCATGCATCAAATAAAATAGACCACGTCATGTCTCGCTGTCTTTGAGACGATTGCAATCGAAGCTTAGCATGTCTCTTATTCTAATCAAACGGCCAAAACGAACAAACGCCCGGGGTTAACAGGCGGCGGATAGGCGAACAGTCCTCGTGCTGCCGGGCTGAAAGTTTGCGACTGAGACCGTGAGCCTAGTCTTGGCTTTGCTAGTAATCTTCGAGGTCTGTTTGTCTCTTTTCTCCGCTTGAGCTGTAAGTCAAGTCTTAGTTGTGTCGTCTTATCTATACACATCCCCGGTCCATGTAGATATCTTGTCTTCAGTAATAGTACGACTAGTGGCTTGCAACACAAATATCCTCGACTCCTTGCCTATACTAATCCATAGATGACCGACGATCTGCCCTATCCCTTGCCTTGCGAGTATGAAAATCTTCCCTTGCATACTTGAATGCAATTACAATCTGCTCCGTAGTTCCGGCTGCCTCCCCGCATCAAAGCAAATACGAGTACTACAGTATAGATGTTGATATTGCTGCTTCGTACTGATTAGAAGGGATGAGAGACAAGAAAACCGCCGATCAGAGCCACCAAGAAAAGGAAATAGTGTAGGGTCCTATATTTATATCTGTTTGCTTGTGTCATATACATCCTAGCAGATTAGTTGGTCCTTGCGTTCATCATCGGATAAAATTATATCTTACCGAATCCTCTAATATGTGCACAAGGTTGACGGGAACACCGCAGCTGTGCCACGGCATCTCCATCGAGAATATTCAGCCGCTACCCACAAATATGGCTATTGTGGCAATTAAGTGGCTTGATGAAAGATCAACGGCTTGTCTTTATAGACATAGGGGTAGTATTAGGGATGCGCTGAGCGCAGCTGGTGCTCCGTTCCCGTCAATCCATGTTGACAGAGAAACGTGGCCACCCCAGAGCTGAAGCAAGCGGTCTAGGGGACCTCCCTGTAGCTGCAGGAAGGGGATGGAAGATGATGATTTCGACAGTTTGCTCTGAGATGTCTCAATTGAGCAAATCCGCCGGCTCTTCTTGTGCGCGCGCAGTACGAAACATGCAGAAAGTCAAATCCCCAGATGAATCGGCTTTGTGCCTCGGGTAGCTCCGCGAGCTGCAGATGTTGCGCCCTTCTTTTGCACAGCAAAAACGCCATCTGCGTGTGGTTATTGTTGCATACATGTACTTACATGCACCTGTGCAACAACTAATGCATGCTGTGTAGGACAACCATCTTCAGCCGTCAGTTTCTCTGCTCGGAGATTCGGCTGATAGCCGTGCATTGTTGGACGACAGCAGACATTGTTTGCTCAAGTTTCCAGATTTTGATGGATCAGCTCCAGATGTGTATGTGCATGCATGTAAGTTCAACGTTAGGGATGTTTTAGTCGCTTTCAGCGGCCGATCCGGGCGCCTTAGCACGCTGAAGCCCTGAAAATCGTCACTACGAGGCATCGCTAAGCAGGGAGCTGCCGCGGGGCTGTCACCTCAGGCACCTGCAGCGGGAGGGGCCTCTGAAGGGGGGATCCCTGGGCTTGACCTCACTTCTCATTTCCCAACTCTGCTCTGTTGCTCGTCCCACCACCCGGACGTCATTCTGTGCTTGCCATGTGGTGCGGCGCGCTGCAGAAGGCTGAGTGCGGTGCTCTAGCCCCCAGATACGGGTCTCCGCGGAAATTAGACGCGTCGTCGACCGATGGCTGGTCAGCGCGGGCGACGACACCGACTCATTGACCGGGATAGCATCGTGCCCGTCTGCACAGACACAGAAGCCGCCCAGGCGGTCCAGAAGGTGGTTCGGGCTGCGTCGACGCATTGAGGCATTCTGTGCTACCGTTATTACTTGTCGCAAAAGTCCGTGTTGGTACGAGAACATCTGCAAGCCCGCCGCGCCGGCGCTGCCCAGGCTTAGTGCTACTGTTGACTATTGACAGGGAAGACAAGACCGCGAGCATGGGTGTGCCGTGGAGATCGTGGCTAGCGTCGCCCCAGCAAAGCCCTCCGTCCGAGATAATTTGAAAGGCTGCCTCGCACAGGTGACAAGTACCGACACGGGGTGTTGATTGTGCGTGCAGAGCCCGGAGCATTCTATGGCGTGCTCGTACAACCTTCGCCCTCACTGCCGACGAAGGAGTCTGCCTGAGTCGTCGGCCGTTGGCACCACTCATCTCCCGCAAGCTCTTATACACGGCCCTTAGCTTCAGTTGACGAGCACACGCTACCGCTAATAGAGATAGTACGGAGTACACCAGCGCGGGTGTGGTGCATGAATGCGCGTGTGCGTGTGCGTGCTACTGCTGGCACCACTGATACTGCCGACCAATTCCAATCTGTTGCCGGGCCTGTAGCGAGAAACTACTCTATGGCTTCGGCAACCCTTGCTCTTCGAGGAGTCGATGGTGCTGCATCCAAGTCGGTGATCTGTTGTGAAGCCCTGTAAACTTTCGGCATCGTCTGAGACATCCATATTGCTGTCGACGACGGGGCTATTTCCCTGCCCTCTTGGCTCAGCCAGGGCTGATTCTTTCGCCTGTCCTATCTGTCACGAAGAAGCGGGACAAGGAAAAAGGGACAAAAAAGAGGGACAAAAGCTGCCATCGACCACCGGTTGCCCGCAGAGGCATCATTTCCCGGACGACGCCTCTTTTTCTACAGTACAACACGGAGCACGTCCAGGTGCCTACGCATGCAGCCAAGACCTTGCCTTATTTGTGTCCTCGCATCTTGCTCCCTGGTCGTTCATGATCGGCTGGTCGCATTGTGTATATTGCTCCAGGTAATTACAGGGTGGAGACTTGTTGCGGATTCTGCAGTGGTCTAATCAAGCATTGCAGAACACTAGACCTCGCTTCACCACATCCTGGACAGCACCCGCAGTTTTCCTTTTTGTTCATTTACACGAGAGCCCCCATTCCCGATCTTGTCAGTCTCGTTTTGCAACTCGCGTCTTTTCCCCGCCATAACCGCTATCCATCTTCCGGCTGGGCAGAGAAATTCTGTGCTCTTATTGCGCCGTCTCTCTGTTTCTTTTCTCTCTGCTCGTCTAGACATTACTCTGTACAGCCAAACCGACGGCGAAGATACGCGATAAGAATGGGGCCCCGCTAACAAGTGGCATTCGCGAACGACAAGCTATAATCTGATTTTCTTTTCTTCTCTTTTTCCCTGCAATACCGCCTACTCATACCCCAGCATCAGTGTTTTATTGAGTCCTCGCGGCCCTTGGAAACTAGGGCACAACTGGACTGATTCATTTCGTCTCTTACACGATATATTCGGAGCATTTCGTCAAATGACGGAAAAGTAGCACGAGATAACTAGGGCTGAGACGGGATTCTTTTTTCGAGCGCTCTGGAGGGAACCTGACAAGATGAGGAAATTCAACTTTTCCCGACCGGCACGTAAGAAGCCGCAGGAGCCTCAGCCGCCACCACCACCAATGATGCCGATGAGTAAAGCTCATAAAATCCTGGGCTCGACACCACTCAGTATCGATGCTTCTTCAATTCACAGCACCCCACAACCAACCATAAGCGTTGCTAGTGTTTACGACAACCCGACCCTGGACGAACTGGATTTTGATTTACCTGGCGGCCAGACAAGGATGGCAAGGGCTGATGCTGAGTTGAGAAAAGAGCGTGGACCATCACCTTCAAATCTGAGGCTCAGTGCTCTTGCCGATAGTGTTAGTTTTGGCGCAATGGCATTGCCCGGTACCCTCAAAAAAGCACAGTCGTCTTCAACTATTAAATCTTGGCACGACAAATCGAAACATTCGCGGTCTCTCTCACGGCAAGCTTCGATCCCGATTATGAATAATGGTTTCTCCGCAAAGACACACCACTTCCAAGATACTGACAATGCCAATGAATCTACAAAGCTACGAAAAAAGCCACCGAAACTCGAATTTTCAAGCGTGGGACCGACCCCTCGATTGTCTAAGAAAGAATCGGATACCTTTAATCCCAATCTAGCAAACAGCTCAGCCAAAACCCCTACGCTCTCGTCTCCATTTTCCACTCCACCTCATCGGCAGAGCGATTTACGCGGCATGTTCAAACGGCGAACCAAAGACAGCTTTCGATCTTTCGCTACCGAACGATCTCCACCAGGCACAGGGGAAGCCCGTCGGATGACGACCCAGCTTTCAGATAACGGGCTCTCCACGTTGTATGACCACTATGAACAGATGACCTTCCGGCATGGCCTAGACGATGACGACGATCTCACAAACAACACTGCCCACAAGACGGACCCAGCTGATGGTCGAACGGAAGGGGAGTGGCGAGAAGTGCAACCACGGCAAAACCTAGATTGGCTTCACAAGCCTATAAGCGAATCACACGAGCCAAAGGCAGTGGCCCAGTCAGATTACTCTTCATCACCGGGTGATGGAGCTAGAAGTGTTTCAAGTAGACATACTCGAACTTCAAGAGCCTCCAGGATTACTGACGGCGGGATGGTGGAAGCTGATTTTCAAGAAAAGAGCGTGCTACTTCTGTCTTCTGACTCCGAAGAGGATGATGATGGCAGATCTTCCACTAGGTTGGACCATATCCCTCTGCCTCATCCAACCAGACCATTACCAGAAATACCGAACAAGTCACGACCACGTCAGCCTTCAGGGCGTGAGCCAGGTGTGGCAACGAATAAGAAGACGAGCTTCGCGCCGGCCAACACGTACATTGCTATCCCTGGTACTGAACGCAAACAAAGGCAATCCCCTTCTCCTTCCCGACTGAGTCTCCCCTACAGAGATGGCGCCCGTGCTCCCTCGCCCAAGCCTTCAGTTGGATCTACGAACTCAACCGGATCAGGCTTGACAAGTCAAAACGGCTACGGGGCAGAAGACTCCCCCCCTGTCACTATTCTGCCTGCACGCCGGCCGTCTCAGGCGGAAATGGATCGGCAAAAGGCATTGGCACTGCTAACCAGTGGCACCGGGTCTTCTCTGCGACGCGAGTCTCTTGCTACATCATCAGACCAGCCCGACGAGCCAACTCCACCGCTCAGTCCCTCCTCAGTCAACTTCTATCTACGATCCGCTCGGTCATCCATTGATGATTCTGGTAGCCAGGGTCGCGTCATGACGCTTACTCGCCAAGAGGAGATGCTCATATCTGCGCTCCGCAAGAAAACTCAGGCCATGCGTGAAAAATCGCAGTTGGGGCCTAGCAATCGACCTCCGTTAGAGGGTCGACAAGGCAGAAGACACGTCTCAACCCCATCGCAAGTAATGGTGACGGACTCCATGCTCGATTTTGATTTTCCCGCGCCTCCGTCGCATAGCTCGAAGCATCGCCAGTCCGGGGCTAGTTCGTTGATGAGTGCATCCATTCCAGAACACCCCTACAGCGAAGACGAGCAGTACCGAGCACCCTCTCGCTTGACCACAGACACCTCGTCTGAAAGAGCATCTTTTGTGTCTTCCACTCGCGGTCCGGAGGAATACACGGAGCAGCATGATATCCGTGTATATCTTGACCAAGGCAAGCAACATAATGCCCAGTGGAACCAACTTGGTGGCGACGGCCAAGCTCTTGAAGACTCAACCAGCTCATCAGGGTTCCATGCCATGTCTTGGGATCATCCGGAGGATAAGCGTACTTCTAGGCTCAAGAATAAGGCAGCACGACAGCAACCTCAAGCTGAGAGCGTCACATCCAGCCCTAAGCTTACCCGGCTCTCCGAGGATGGCAATGAAGACGTACCTCGACCAGACAGCCCGATATCCAACGAGACATTCTCTCAACCGCGGCCGCCGCGCCGTGCTGCGATGAATACAGCACGTCTGAGTGCTGTAGGATTCGTGCGAAGAGATACCGATCCGGGATGGTGGGGAGACGACGACTGAATGAAAAAGGAGATATCTTCTGAGTCTCACTCTCTTATACTTATTTATCTACAACTTCTGCTTTTGCAACAAGTTTCTCACTCTCATATATACACTTCTCCACACCCTCTACCTTTTACCGCAGTTTCGGGAAGCGACTCAGCATCACAACTATCATTCGATTCTCACCGCGTTACATACCTTGAACCTGTTACTATCTTATAATATCTATGTTTTCCCCTTTTTTCCTTTTCTTGTTTACGTCACATTTTACTACATATAATGGGTTAGCTGTTGCTATTACCGACAAACACATTTAAATTGATACCCGGAGCAAACAGCATTATCGGAAATGGATTTTCTTATGTCCCCTTTTCTCTTCATTTATTTTCTATCTTTCTTCCATACATGATTGAGGATAGACTGGAGCGAAATCAAAAAGATCAAGGCTTTGGGCTAATGTTTGCTGCGAGTTGGAAATGAAGGTTGAGAAGGCGCTATGATTGATTGATTGACTGAATTAGGTGGCGAGCGGGAAAGGGTACGACATTTCATGTTTAGCTGGTATTCATATAGCATCGACTTATGGCACAACTGATGTGAAACAAGTTAATTACCCCTTAAGAAGAAGTGGACGATTTGGAATGTGAATTATGATTTTCGTGCTACCAAACTCTGAATGTGAAATGTGAATGGAATGATTTGAGCTTCAGTAAAACCTGCTACGTGACTTCTTTGTGCGTGGTAGTGTTGATGTGGATTTGTGTGTTTGTTGGTTGAAGGAGAGCCCTTTACGTATGTCTGTTGGTCCTTTCGCTTCCCATCTAGAACGTCCTTCCGTCTTTATCTTCTTTAGTCTCTTCGATTAACTCCCGAGGGAATCATGAGTATGTAGAGCCTTCAGGAGGCTGGGGGATCTTTTTGTTCGCCGGAGAGGCCATGTATCTGCGATGCTGAGTCAGCCTTGATCATCCAATCCTACTCTTATTCGAAGGAAGAGCCCACCTTCGCAGCTCAATCAGGACCATCTCCATGGTGTTTTCACGCTTCCACTGGGCTAGGCAAGGAAGCTGCTTCGGGTCGACGACGCCGTTGTGAGGGTTGACGCAGGGGAGGTTGACTTGGCTGACGAACTGGATGGAGGGGGGCTCGTCGGGATACTTTTCGCCGCAGTGCATTTTCAGGCTGTAGATGCGGTTCTCGTGTGCGGACTGCAGAAAGCCATCGGGGTTAGCTTCTTCTCTATAGTTTACTTTTCCTGAAGCAAAGGCTGAGGGAGAAACGAAGTCGGTGGGTCGGCATGTGTGTTTTTTCCTTCTCTTTCAATGCAGCGGGAATCCGGTTGCTGGCTGTATATCGACTTGTACGGCAACGTTTGACCTCTGCGGGGATGTCGAGACAATGTGTTCTTCTTCGAGAGCCACAACCCCAAAGGGAGTTGAGTCAAGTCTTACATGAGGAGGTCCCAGGATGGTGCCGTTCCAGTTGGACATGAGCAGGTCGTCGCCATCTTCTAAGCCGTAGCTGCAGGCCTCAGCTCCGAGACCCTTTTCGCCCTTTTCAAGCTCCTCCAGCAGGCGGAAGTTGCGCGGGACCTTGGCAGACATGGTTCCTTGTCTTTGGTTTCGTTGTTTATCTGGCGATACCGTCTCTCCTTCTTTGTATTGGGTATTTACGCAGCGCAATAATACCTGCGTACCAGCTGTTTGCTCGTGGATGCGTGTATTTCAGGTTTTGCGAAATCGGGCGCCGTAGAAAGTTGAGGATCTGTCGGTCAGGGTCGGAGGCGGTTCGTATAAAGCGTCGGCGTCAAGTCTTAAAAAGGTGCAGTGCAGCTGTTCCTGGCGCGGGGCAGTTTGTGAATGAAGGAACGATGCCCCGCCGAAAACGAAAACGCACAGCAGGCAGGCGGCAGGGAGAACAGATGACGGAATGGCTTGGAAGCAAGGTACCTGGCCTGAGGTACTCAGCTGATTGTTTGCTGGGCTGAGATAGTGTGGTGTATGGCGGGTGCTGCTATGCGGGTAAAAGTCGGGTAGTTCGGAGAGCTACTGCTACTCCATAGGAGCTGTGCCTTGTCAAGTTGTATTTGCCGAACAAACAAATCGTAGTCATCTACAACATCATTGGCTTCTCGTACGACAGTCGAGGGTTTTCCTTGTGTTTTTCCCTCCGCCAATCTCGTCTGCGATATCTGCAATACCCCAATTAGTTGCCTGTATTACTTCGGCGCACAAGCGGCGACTCGGAGGCAAAGCCAACGAGCAATTCACATCTCCCGGCCATAGCCTAGCGAGCAAGGCATCCAACCGTACACGCGCATAACTCGAAGCTCGCCTTTTTCACACCTCACGATGCCTTCACTACCGCCACCAAGGGCCGCCCTCCGCGCAGGGAGAACAACCACGGCTCTCTTCCTGCGCCCCCAATCGCATCTCTCTTTCTCGACATCCTCACGCACTCTTCTCCCTGCCAGCTTCTCCGGCAACAGTGGCAGCTTCGGCGGTCCTCTGCCCTCGTACTTCCAGAAACCTCGGCTACCTGCCAACACAATCATACGATTTGTGCCACAGCAGACGGCATGGATCGTCGAGCGAATGGGAAGATTCAGCCGCATCTTGGAGCCCGGATTGGCGATTCTGGCTCCGGTTATTGATCGGATTGCATATGTCAAGAGTTTGAAGGAAGTGGCTATTGAGATTCCAAGCCAGAGTGCGATTACGGCCGACAACGTCACATTGGATCTGGATGGTGTTCTGTATACGAGAGTGTTTGATGCGTACAAGGCTAGGTGAGTCGCACATGGCTTGCTTCTCTCCTGTCGCCATTCTCGCTTCTCCCTCGGAGTTGTTCGGAGAGTAGGATATAAGACACTTTGGGGTCTGACGGAGGAGGAAGATTTGGTCACTTGATCTGTACTAACGGAAACTGTGCTTCAGTTACGGAGTTGAAGATGCCGAGTATGCCATTTCCCAGCTCGCCCAGACCACGATGCGATCAGAAATCGGCCAGCTCTCCCTCGACCACGTTCTTAAGGAGCGTGCTGCGCTAAACACCAACATCACCGCCGCTATCAACGAGGCCGCTCAAGCATGGGGAGTTACGTGCTTGCGTTACGAGATCCGAGATATTCACGCCCCTGGAGCCGTCGTGGAGGCCATGCACCGCCAAGTTACCGCCGAGCGTTCCAAGCGTGCCGAGATTCTCGAGTCCGAAGGTCAGCGTCAAAGTGCCATCAACATTGCCGAGGGTCGGAAGCAGAGTGTCATTCTCGCCTCAGAGGCTATGCGCGCCGAGCGTATCAACGAAGCCGATGGTGAAGCCGAAGCTATCCTGCTCAAAGCCCGAGCAACTGCCGAGGGTATTGACGCCGTGGCGGCAAGCATCCTCAAGGGTGCTCACGGAGCCCAGGGCGCTATGAGTTTGACAGTGGCCGAGAAGTACGTCGACGCCTTCAGCAAGCTTGCCAAGGAGGGCACGGCCGTGGTTGTTCCTGGAAACGTTGGCGACATTAGCGGCATGATTGCCACCGGTCTCAATGTGTACGGCAAAGTCAGCGAGGCTCAGGCAAAGGTCCTGGCTAAGCAGCTTACCGCGCCCTCTTCTTCCAGCGGCGAAACAGGAAGCGCCACTCCATCTGCAGAGACACCGTCAGAAGAACTTGCCCAAGAGAACAAGGGAGATCTAAAGGACAAGGTATTGGAGAGCTTTAATCAAGTAGCAGGGAAGAAATAAAGAAGAAAACAAAATAAGGTTGTATAACCAATAAACGACACGCCAGCCATATGTAAAGGGACAACACAACAGATCTTTGAAGAGTAATACATTAGGGCTAGATAATGGGCTACAGGATTACCTTATGAACATTACAAAAGGCAGGCTATATCTGGAGCTAAAGGCGTTGTTGGCTCATGTCACTGAATGGAAAAAAGTGGGTGATTTAGGGGGAATGGCAGACATGGCGTTTCCACATATGTGTGTGTGAATTTTTTTCTCTCTTTAAACCCTCCTCTCCTCAATATTTTACATCATACTACCACTTTATCTCATTCTTCTTTTAGCTTTGTAATACTACCTACCTACATTATAAAAGGAGGGGAGGGCGTTGGAGAAGACGGCTGCGACGTTTTGTATGAATAGGCGAATACATAACCTCTATTCCGCACAGACGTGGACAAGAGGCTGCTTGAAAAGAAAAATTAATCAAAATAAACATCAAAGTGCCAATCAATCTTTAGGGAACCGTTATCAGGCGCCCAGATGTTCCATCCAGGTGAGTGTGAACTAGTGAACCAATCAACTTAAAACCAAGGCAAATTGATCAACACAATAAGTGATTTATGGTTTAAGAATCGTATATATCTCTAATAGGAAACTAATCCGAAAGTCTCGATGATCTCGACATTTGGACGGGGCACTGAGTCTGACTGTATTAAGGTATCACTGCAAATTTCAATCTCCATCCAACCAAACTGTTATTCCATTATCATTACCAGGCATTTTGCCTTAAAGACATTGTTCTTCCATTCATCATCGCAAGAATCAACTCAAGAACATCTCCCCATTGCTTCACAGCCTCAATCCACCGCAGCGGGAAAAGCCGATTATAGAACAAAGGGGATAAGAGCAAGAAGGCCAACAAGCAAGCCGGAAGAGCCAATCGCATCGCCGTTAGCGCCGTTGGTGCTGGTCGGGCGAGAAGCAGCAGTCGTGGTAGGGCGGCTCACGTCAGAAGTGGTCGCAGGGCCAGCATCAGAAGTGAAGGGCGAGCCGGTATCAGTAGGGCTGGGCTGGCCATCATCCGAGGTGGCAGGAGGGAAGGGATTGGAGGTGTTGTCATCGCCGCCGGATCCGCCAAAGGGGTTTGACTGGGTAGGAGCAGCAGTTGGCTCAGGGTCCGGTGAGAGGCTGTAGCTGGTTTGATGGCCCGAAGAACCACCAGACCCTTTGGTCGTGAAGGAGTCGCCAGGGGATGAAGATTGGTTGTCACCGCCGTCACCACCAGATCCGCCGCCGCCTCCAGAGCCGAGCCGGCACTTGAAATCAGAGGTACATGTTTGTCCAGCATCGCAGTGGTAGCCATTGTGGCAGCAAACGCTGCCACTGGGCATACATTCGTCATCACAGGCCTCATATCCAGTAGGGCAGCTTCCATCGCCGCCTCCGCTACCGCCACCGCCTCCTCCATTTCCTCCTCCACCTCCTCCCGAAGTGCAAGTTCCCTTTGGCACGCAAAACTCGCCGCAAAGGTCACGGTCTCCATCGCAGCCTGTAGGCTCGCCAGTGCAAACTTTCCCAATAGGACAGCAGCCATCACTAACACATGAGTAGCCAATGTCGCAGTAAGCGCCGTTGCCGAGGCCGCAGCAGATGCCAGTCAAGGGCATGCAGCCGGTGTCACAGTCCGTCTCTCCGAGGCCGCAAGTACCACTGGCTGCGTGGACGCCAAAAGCCGAAGAACCCAGGCCAGCAGCAGTTACACCTCGCCCGAGGACGTCTCCGAGGTTCATTGCCGTTAAACCTTCTGCGGCAACGAGCCCAGCCGCAGCCAGGAGGAGAGCAGAGTAAGGAGGCATGGTCGAAAAAAAGCGTAAAGCTGTCTTGATGTGAAGAATTGACAAGACCAGAGGCTTTTTTGTTGAGAAGAAGCAGCTCCCTCAGCTACAGAAATGCTGGGAAGTGAAAGTCTTGTGGCCAGAGCTAAAGAGGACTCTCGGCCGCTTTTATATGAGACCAGACAAGGTAGTAAAAGGTTCTCAACAATTTTCCTTGTTTTTCTCACACAGCTTCTCTCAGCTCGACTAGGCGGCTTAGACTGACACACATTTTAAGCCTCCCCCGAAGCCATCATGAGCTAACAAGCCATCCTGCCCAGGGGTTAAAAAACAAACGACGCGCATCCAGTGTTCACTGGTGAAGGCCCATGTTAGTGCACCCTTTGGAGTCATAACAAGACCCATGCCGGCACTAATCCTCAGCCCATTTAGCCAAACAGCACTTCTAGCTTGCTAGAAGAAGCCTTGGACCCTGGCCACAATCAAGTGGTGGCTTACGCTGCTGCCCAGTTTCATGCAGTCCAGCTTAACGGCTTCACGTGGCATTGGTTAGCCAATGAGTTATAAGACACTGAGACTGGAAAATGAGGGTGTGGAGAGCTTGTCTATTCACTCGCCTCCCAGCGAGGCGGTCTATCTTGGTGTATTATGCTCGCCAGTCGCGGTAGAGGTGGCGGGGATTGCTAACATTGGCGATACCACGGCCGATGCCTTTTCGTGAGAAGGATGGAATAGAATAGTTGCTGGAGCGGGGTCGAGTCTCTCAGCTCTTGGGGGCCATGTGGATATTGATAGACGGTTCTGGGAATAGTGCGAGACAGATGTTGGAGTGTTGCCTATAGGCGAGACAAGGGATCGCTCTAGCTCCCCTGATGCTTGTGATAGTCAACTGCCGCCCAAACTGGGCCAGACCATTGCAGATGATCTGCCTGCTAAGGAGCCCACTGTGAGACTACCTTACTAGTATGCATATACCGTACCCCAACAACAGTGGCGGCAGTCGGATCATCGTCTAAGCTCGGAGGAAAAGAGGAAGAGCTCGCCGATAGACCGTTTGTCGCCTCACTATCTCGAACAATCCATTGGCCAGCACTTGAGCTATTGTGTGTAAACATTGAGTTGGTAAATGAAGTAGAATAGACCGAGATCATGTCATATCAGTAACAGCCCGGCGACAAGTTCATCGACCCGTCGGCTGTCGCGGTGGAGCTGCTCTTAAGCTTAGCGGGAAGACTAGACCAGCGCCAGCCTCAGCCGAGAGGATTGCTTCTCGCCCACACTATCGTATATCGTATTGCCGCTCTGGGCCACCGGGCATGCTTTCCAGCAACCACAAACAGAGATGTGGCTGAATGCATTGGTTGCCACTAAGTGCCATCGGGCAGAATTGGGCTCCCGGTCAAAAGAACAGCCAGGCGATGGGCACGCAGGCAGCTCATGCTTCACAGAAGCTCTGTTGTTGAAACTGGAAACTCTTCAAGCAGTGAGCAAGGACAATTACCAATCGCTTTTGATGGTTTTTTTATTTTTGGTGCGTATCGTTCCCTCCTTTCTGCTATGTCGGGCTCGCTTCTCTCCCTCTCCCATAGAATTCGGCGTCTAATTACTCCTTCTTACAGAGGGGCTAGCCAGGATGAGTGCGGCTGAAAGTTAGTTGCAGTGAGTTGTCAGGGACTATGACAATCAAGCCTGTTTGCCCTGCATCCACGCTACAGCAGAAATAGATTGGTCGTTGCTCATTGGTATCAAGCAAATGCGACGGGAAGTCCCTCCCAATTTCTCCGAGTTTCCTCATCCTATCTGTTTGTTGGTTTGTTTTCAGTTACATGTATAAATGGGAAAGATCATCAACATGCCGATACCATGTTCGATGTTTGGGGACGGAATGGTGTGAAAAAAACGCCAAAAAGTTGCAAGAATCGAATTGGGGGTGTATTCTTCCCGCTCCCTAAGAAACGGCACACCCTAGACAGTCATTGTCAATCGTACGAGTGTTCCTATGATTCCTTCACAGGCAAAAGTTGCCTTGATGGTCTCCCCCTTTTTGACATCTAGACGAGCAAACATGATCTTGCTATTCTCAATTCTTTTTACACTTCCCCTCCAAAACCACAACAGCCGCCCATCGTCTCCTTCAATCACCAAAGTCGTCCAAGGACACCGTTTACGCCACGTTGGCACAATTTCATTAGCGAATCCCAAGACGACTCTGACCACGCAAGCAGGGTGATGTACCGATGTGGTGGTATTTTGACGATCGTCTTGTGGTAGGGTGCGCGTCGTAACTGCATCAAGATGCAAATACAGCAGTGGGAATCCCGATAGTTGGTGGATCATCTGATGCCCAAAGGGTGGGTTCCTACTGAGCAATCGTTCAATATGATAAAACTCCAATCCAGCGAGATGCTTGATAGACTTGACACCTGCATCGACAAGTCGTTTCATCTTTGCTGCACCGATTCCGTCTACTTGTAGCAACTCCATATCGGTCCCTTCCCAAACTTTTGCCTTGACGCTCCTCAGGACGTCAAGAGTAACAGTCACTCCTCGACCGTCTTCTCTCTCTCCAAGGATGTCTGCTAAACATCTCAACACGCTGTCTAATACAATGTAGATTCGGCCGCTTTCTCTCAGTAGCTCTTTACGGGCATTGGCGGATATCTTGTTCGGCCATCCGTTTCGCGACAGATCGATCTGAACGAGCAACGATACTTTTTGCCACGGCTCAGTGGCATTTCCGATGATGGGATAAGGGATTCCCGTGTGATCGTTGATTTCTCTCAGCAGATTCTTCTCTTCTGGCCTGATGGGGAAACAGCGGAACTCTGCTGCAAGACATGCCGTCTCGAGAACTTTTCGTCTGTCAGGCGCTTTCTCAATCGTAAAAAGCGATCTTAGAGTAGGTAGTGAAAGCCGATATCGAAGTCGGATCTCATTGTACTTTAGGGAAACCGGCGTTTCAGCGGAAACGGGAGACGGCTGAGATGATGTCTCTTGACGATCTTCTTCTGCGCAAGGCGACAACTGCATTTCCATAGAGTTACCAGTGCGACCGATGGTAGTTTCGAAGGAAGCAAATGAAGTCATCTGGTCTGTCTTCTCGTGACCCTCCGTATGTACAAGCTGTGTGTCTGCACTTTCTGACGCTGGACATTGGTATTTGCGATGACCGTAATGGTTGCAGATCGTTGCGGATTGCTGTTTTAGGTGCCTGTGGTATGGTATGCTGCAGGTGGAAAAGGTTGGAGTCAAAAAGCAGATGCTGGAAGTGAAAAATCCTGCGGGCTGCTGAGACGAATATTTTCTGCCATAGGTGCCTTGGGTGAGGCCGTACCTTCCTCATTCAATTGCAGTTCTACCTTTACGTTATTCGAGCGCCTCGTTCCTTCCAAGGCTCTCTTACGTTCATCAATACAGCTTAGCACCACCTACCTGCTGCTATTTGCGTGTCGCAACAAATATTTTATTTAAATATGTGTGCAGTTCCATACGGTACCTAGGAATATGGTTCAAAAAGCCACTGTGACCGTGCAATAAAGGGCTGTTGGTTTAAGAATTAGAGAATGAAGTCTTTCAAAAGCTATAGGATCAACCAGGTCAGGTCGGTCAAACCAAGGTCAACCAATTGAAACGAGGCTAGGTATATCGCCAAGATCGTTTAGTAACAGTAAGACTGAAGATGTTGATAGTTTCTATATACGCAAAGACAAGGGTTCCGCGCCGATAACTCAGCAACGTTTAAGTTACAGGTACTGTCATTATGTCTCATTCAGCTAAGTACTAATTATGCAACACATAACGCTGCGCTGGAGCCATTAGTAATGCTGGCCAGTCAACACCTACCACTGTAACACTCTGTCCGACAAAAGGCTCGTGTTTGTAGTTGGGAAAAGCCTTCCAGCACCATGGTTCCCTTATCCAATACCCTAGCTGTAGCAGAAGTAGCAGAAGTAGCCTTGGGAATTTCACTATAAAGAGCTCTTGAGACAAAGATTTCATTTACTTGATTAGTTCCGCCTTGCGAGAATGTCTTTTGGCGTGTGACACTCGTATGCCTAAGGCAGCCCTCGCGGGTGGCACTTAACGAAGAAGCCTTTCCATTAATCTAGATACAAAGTACACGAGTTATCACATCCAAAATTATTATTGTAAGAAGGTGCGCTCTCACGCGGAAAGAATCTTTGCCTCAGGCTTCCAGCTGGCTTATTCTATACCTATTCTTTATTTAAGCCTTCTACCTCCCTTATCCCTCTCTTCTTCCTCTTTCATCATCCTCATCTGCACCGGTAGTATTATCACATTGTATACTTACCTACCTACTTAGTATTCTTCGACAATCATCACCATGTCTCGCTGCTTTATCGTTCCGCCTCACCTTCTCAAGGCTATTTCTGAGTCTTCTGCCAATTCTGATGTTATTCGTCAATCAGCTCTAGCTGCCCTTTCATCTCGCCAAGACGTTGTCGTCAAACGCAAGAACTGCTTACATCGCGCACACCCTCGTTCTACTGCGGGCCCCTTTATTCCGGCCCATGTGCTCCGTCATATATCGGAGTCTGAACATGCGGATGAGGCCTCTCGAGCAGCCGCGTTGAGAACTCTAGAACGTGACTCTTTAACTACAAGGGCTCATCGAATGGTCTATGATGCTAGACACGTCTCAAGCGAGGCTGAATTACCCGGAAAGCTCGTTCGGGCAGAAGGCGACAAGGAGACCAAGGATAACACAGCCAACGAGGCCTATGACAACGTCGGAACTGTTTTAGAATTCTTCAAGGATGTCTTTGGCTGGAAATCCATTGACGATAAATATGCTGATATAATCAGCTCCGTCCATTTTGGCGAGCAATACGAAAATGCTTGTAAATGGCCCCATTTTCCCTCTCCCTCCCCCTCCCCGTTCCCCTGAAAATACTATCCGGCTAACTGGCAGATAGTTTGGGATTCAAAAGAGCGACAAATGGTCTTTGGGGATGGCGACGAGTTCCTGAGCAACTTTACCGGATGTGTCGACGTCATTGGACACGAGTTAACGCATGCTGTCACCGAGCACACAACTGCACTCAACTACGAGGGCCAACCTGGCGCATTGAACGAGCACGTCTCTGATGTATTCGGCATCATGATCAAGCAAAAGGCTCAAAATGAGAAAGCCAAAGACACCGACTGGCTTATCGGCGAAGATTGCATCCTTCCCGGCGTCAAAGGCGTTGCTCTCCGAAGCATGAAGGCCCCTGGCACCGCATACGACGACCCTCGTTTTGTAAGTTGATATCAAAGGCACGAAATCCAAGTATTTAGCTGACCTCATCTACAGGGGAAAGACCCTCAAGTAGACAACATGAGGGACTTCCAGCAAACGTACGAGGACAACGGCGGTGTTCACATCTACTCCGGCATCCCCAACAAGGCCTTTTACCTTGTCGCCCAGGCATTTGGCGGCTACTCTTGGGAAAAGGCTGGAAAGATCTGGTGGAAAACTTTGCAAACCAAAGTGCATGCGGACTGCACGTTTCTTCAGTTTGCCGACGCCACTGTGGAAATCGCGGAGCAATTCGACCCCGAGGCAGCCCAGGCAGTTCGGAAGGCCTGGGACGAAGTTGGTGTAAAATCTGATGATTCAGGTGGCTGGTGTGTTGTTCTCTGAAGATGCACGCTTCTTCTGTCAATGTTGCCAACAGTCCCAGATTAATATTATAGTACCGCAGTCCCTAGAATAAATTTACTATAACTACATATACTACTCCTCCTCCTCCTCCTCCTACTACTACTACTACTACTCCTCCTCCTACTACTACTCCTCCTCCTCCTCCTGCTACTATTGCTACTATTGCTATCATCACTAGTATTTTATAGCTGTCATACATTAACTACACTCCTTAAAGTACATATACGGGGACGCCTTGAATAATGCCTTTTGAATGGGAATCTGTCTCCTAATTTTTTAATACTCATGCTACGGCCATAGGATTTCTTCACCCGCAGTCAAAATAATCGCTATCGTTGAGTCAGTCAGGAGTCGCTTAGAAGGCGATACGGCCATGAATAAACAAAGTGGACAAGGACGATCTTTGCAAACAAGACCGCTGAGGTAAAGATGTAGCTCGTGTTACTCAAGTCACAGCTAGAGAAGACTTAAAATAACAGCGACCGCACATTGTGCTATTCTCTGTCGAGACAGTTTGACGAGCTAAAATGAAAGCAGATGTAAATCGGAAAGTAGATTAATTCCAACAGGGACTGTGGTAACTTCATAGCTCGCGAGTTATCATAGCTGACATACACCAACAACGCTCCCAACAGTACGGGGCTCAGATTTGAATCCTCTTCTAAATTCCTGACAAATCCGCCTTTTCTCCTATGATGATATTTGTCAGAGAAAATTAGGTAGGTAGGCATATAATTTAATAATACCACCGGTGAGGATGAGGATAAAGAGAAAAGAAGAAGAAAAGGAAGAAGGGACGGGGGGGACAAGAGTTTCTGGGCCTTGTTAACTATATTATCCTCAGCCTCCTTATCGTATGTCACCTAAAGAAGCTTAAGTTAAGGCTCTACAATAACTTAGCAGCGTTCAAACTGCATGTAATATTATTACATCTTATTTGGCTGTTGTGCGATGCAATCAGATGGTTATTGGCGCGGGTGGCGACCTTGAAGATGGCATCTTGCAGCCCGGGGGGCGTTGGGGCCTTACCGGAAGACCTCCTCCTCTTTGACACCCTCCTCGGCCATGATGTCCAGCGGCGGATATTTCTGGTGAAGGGAAATATTCACGGCTTCATCCTTGACTTTCGAGGCCTGGCGGCGCACTGGAGATTGGATTCACACCACTCAGTCACTATAACACAGACCGGCTGCGACAGGGACCTTTTCCCGCATCTATCCACCGATTAGGGGACAGTTTGGCCCTTTGCAGCCTCAGACATCATCTCCTCGTTCGCATTGAAACAACAATCAGTCGAGCAGTAATACTCAACGTGCGAGAAACATACATGTTAGGATGTTGGCCCGGAATCGCTCCCGCGGGACACGGATGGAGTCATGGATGGCGGCAATAAAAAAAAAAAAAGAAAAACAAGGAGAAAAGCAAAGACTACGCTGAAAACTTGATTTCAATAACTTGGGATTGGCGGACTCCACTCTTATATCGGCTAGCATCTTGATATTATCGAGTGGTTTGCTTTATGGAGGAGACTCTGTGTGGTGGTGGATAGCCCTGGAGTATGTAGAGGGCGATGACCTCTTTGACAGGATCGAAGCGGATGTTGGTGCCCGAGAAGATATTGGTCAAATCTACTTCCTCCAGTTAGTGGGCGGCGTGAACTTCTTATAATTGGCTTATTCTTTCTCTTGCTCTCTTTTTGCATGTTGCCTTTTTTTTTTTCTTCTTCTTCTTTGCATGCCTTCTGGCTCTGTCCATTGCCGGCTTTCTGCTTTGTTAGATGCACTCGCTCTTCTCTTCGAGCTTATGTATCAGATTGCTCAAGTTTATAAACAAGGAAACTTTTCCTTTCCTATTTCTCTTATAGGTACTACTGGCTGTGTTTTCCAGCTCTTTAGTACATCACTCGCTCGTCTCTTAAGCTTGCGAATTAGATTGCTAAAGTTTGTAAGTAAATATTCTTTTCCTCTTTCTATTTTTCTTATAGGCATTACTGGCGGCGTTTTCCAGCTTTGTGGCACATTATCACTAATAAAAAGGCAAACGAGGACCTACAACGCTCGCACAAGTACAGGGGCGCCTGAGATGATACCTCTTCTAAGTTTCCGACAAATCCGCTTTTACTTGTGTTACAATGATTGAACTCCTTCTTCAATTCTGGGATGGGCTTCTTTCTGTTGACCCTGCTTGGGCGATGGAAGGGTTTCCAGGCCTTGTTGGCTGTGTTGCCCTCGGCCTCCTTATCGCTTCCTGCCTGAACGAGCTTGAGTTAAGGCTCCACGATGGCTCAAAAGCGTTTGAGTTGGGGGGTAATGATATCATATTCCATTTAGCTGTCGTGCGATACAAACGCTACGCTTGATTCGATGGTGTCACTGGTTCAATCGCATGGCTTGTCTGCCGTCGGATGAATCTGTCCAACAAAGTACTTTGTAGTCATCCTCTCCTCGAGAACTCGAGATTTCGCATCTTGGCAAAAAGACATAATGAGAGTTTTTAGAACCGTATATTAGTGGGAGGCAGTTAGTAACACTAATTAGCAATGCCTATACCACAAACATGCACTGATATTCCGCACATTGATTGAAATACTGTACACGTAGGTAGTTGTCGGCAGACACAAACTCGCTTGATCTCGCTATCATCGCCATCACAGGACAGTCTCAGTTTCTCAAACCTTTGGCTATAATGTATTTCCTGCTGTTTGATTATAGCAATATATGTTTGTAAAAAAATAAAAATGCATTTATACAAGCTCAAATAGACCACAAAGGCCGAAGCAATAGAAAGAGCTGTACCTAGCCCCTGGTTCAGTGGCGACCTAGATGGATGAAGTCTTACGAGCACCACCAAAGAATCATGTGCGCCTTTGTACGTCACAGCCAGCAGCCCAATTACCCAAATAAGAACTACGATGCGCCACCATGCTTAGGTCCATGTGCATGAATGGATTCTTTAGCAGCAGACTATGAACCTACTTGAGCAGCCACAAAAACGTGCCCGGTGCGCCCCAAGGACGGGACCCCAATAAGACGATAGCAATAGCGAGATGACGAGCCCGCGTGGCTAACAAACGCCGAGATCAATAACCTACCCCGTAGCACGCATGCTATCTGAGCGTCCATGACTCATGCCACCCATGCATTTCGCTCAGCGCAACTACTGCGGAAGAGCTACTGTTAGCATCACCTGTGCCAGCTAGGACAAGCTTCTAGTAATAATTCGGTTCGATCGCTTGCAGTAGCGGCCAAATGGACAGCTTCTTCGTCCGGACGCCGAAAAAGCCCTGGCTTGCAAGGTGTCCCCCGTGCTGGCGCCAAAGAAGTAGTATGGGGGAGTTGCTCTATGGCGCACTTGGACTCTTCAGCTGGACCCTTGATAAACTTCGACTTCTCCATGAAATTTTGAAGGCGGTCTGGCTTCTAGTTTCTTGGCTTTTACACAGACAACAACTTAAGGCTCCAGTCATTAGATTGTGATGAAGAATAAAGGCCCCTTTCTGAGCTAAGCTGCCTTGAGTCTTATCTCTCTCTAATTCGCTCTAATGAAATGCTCCAGTTACAGCTGCAGCTTTACCGTCCAAGCAATACACACATTAAGAACCCATTGGGCTTCTTTACCATAGTAGTTATCTAGTACTTTTATTTTGTAAATTTCTAGTAGTAATAGTAACAGTAGTAACAGTAATAACATGCTGTATCAACATCTATCCTCGTGACAACCGCTTAAAGTGGCCGCCTCCGCAGAGAGCGAGAGTACACGTATGCAGCAATTTATAACATCAAAACTCTCTGTCACTCTTGTCACTGTTAGGCGAACTATTGTCTTGTCCAACGCAAGGCGATATTAGTAACACTATCCAATCACTGTCCACCTTTCCTACCAGCCCAGGGCGTAGGAAGTAATCAGCGCCTATATACCAACATCCCCAGTATGACATAAATAAACCCTTGCTCTCAACCGCGTCTCTGTTCCAATTCCAGCACCCATCCTCGTGCCGATTACCCAGTAACAAGCTGTGCCGCAAACCCGCAAATACGCGCCTACTATACATGCAGGTATACATGCAAAACACATACAACAGACAACAGCAGTATATCCGCCCCAAAAACACCCTCGTCCTCTGTTTTGCCCCAATGAGGAAAGTACTAGGTAATCCAGGAGGTGTGGTCTGACGCCGCATAGCTAGCGATTATTTACTGCTACAAAGTAATATAACATTTGGTAAGCCCAGTCATCAAGTCTTACTTCGGCTCGTATTATACGCTGCGTATCTACAGTACAGGCAGGCACCTAGACGCTTCTAAAATGCATCCTTGCCAAACTGGCAGGTTACGCGCATGGTTCATGCAGGTCACTTATAGAAAAAAGTACAGTAAACAGCTCACTCACTCATGCATGGCTACATTAACCCATTCACCCAGCACAGCCTCTCTTCCAATTACTCAACTCTTTTGCTTTACTTTCCCTCTTCTTGTCTCTCTTTTCCTGCTTCACTCGTCTTGTCTCTTCAATGAAGAACGCCAATATCCCTCATCTCCCAATTCTCGTATTGGATGGATATCCTACCTACTACATCTAGCACCCAACGAACCATCCCAAAAAGGAACATCCCAAAAAGCAGGGGACCAAAAACCCAACCCGCCAAAGGCGCTTCCCAATCTTGGCAGGCACCAAAAGGAAATGAAATTGAACACTTTCTCCTCCCCGGACCCCTGCATCGCATCGTCCGCTTCGGGCCTGAATCCTGTCCCGTTCGTTTTAATTAATGCGCGGGGGAGGATGCTGGCCGGGCTAGCACCAACTAAGTAGACACCTAACAGTAGTTCCGCAGTTGTGCGTAATGAAATTGATTTCGTACCCCGTATTCACACGTATTTGCAAAGATATGATAAATTGGCAGTAGATAAGGCAGGGACTGCAAGTAGTCAGTACTACAAGTGAGTACTGCAAGTGAGTACTGATAGCAAGCACTCGTGCTACTCGTGCGTATAATCACGTAGATACGATACAGAAGCAGTTAATTGGCATACAGGGCGTGTTGACAGCACACGAGCAAGGGTAAACAGCACACGAGAAACAAGCAATAACAAAACAATCATTACAGTTGGAAAGGCTCAAAATTTATAAAATGTTTTTATATCTTCATTCTACATACTGGCTACTGCAATACCTCGAAAGGGCATGCGCCGAAAAAAATATTTTGCTCCCAAAAAACAAGGCAAGCCAACAAACTTTAAGGATAGGTATCAAGCAAAATCAAAAGCAAGCAAAAAAAAATTAAAAGCACCAAAACAAATATATCATCGATCCTGTTCTCTTCATCAATCCAAGCAAACGTCGTTACCAGAAATCAGCTCGGTCGAAAGAAGAGCAGACCTCCCCATTAAAAATAGATCATTATAAGCGTTTCGTTCCAGAATAATTTGCAGGGAAGTAAAAAGAGGGAAAATAACGGGGAAATTTTTGGGATATACTCGGTCGAGAACAGAAAGCACTTGCCACATGTTCGTGTCCGTCAGATGTACAGTGAACAAACAGCGGTGTTGTGTATGTAACTCGAATTTGTATAGTATTAGCTTGGTCTGCTCTTCCTCTCCAAACGCAAACGTTTCCGCCCCATCTACATGCTTTTCATGCCCGCAACAATAAGTACACAAAGCGAATCAAAGAAAGGGGAGTAGATTTTTGTGGGTTGGAAAATCCCGTTTACAGGAGAGCAAAGGCAACACCAGCGCCAATGGCGAAGACGCTGCCGAGAGCAGCAAGGCTGCGAGCGCCAGCGCTGTGGGGGACAGGGGGAGCAGAGGGCTTGGAAGATCCGGTAGGCTGAGCAGAGCCAGTGCCGTTGCCAGCAGCGCCGCCAGAGCTGGGCTTGCTGGGAGAGGGAGTCGAGGAAACCAAGGTGGTGGCCTGGGCAGCGGTAGAGCTGGGAGCATCAGTGGAGCTGGAGGCATCCGTGGAGCTGGGGGCATCGGTAGAGCTAGGAGCATCGGTGGAAGAGCCCTTGGCGCTGGTGTGGGCGGCAGAGGTCTTGGTGGAAGCAGGGGCAGACGACGAGGTCTTGTCGTTGCTGCTGTCGTTGCTGCCGTCACCAAGCTCGACCTTGATGCTCTGCCAGGAGCCGGTCTTGTCGCTGTAGATGTAGTCCTTGACGCTCTTGGAGGTAGGGGCATCGGCACCAGCGTAGTCGACAATGGAGATGCTCTTGTAGTAGCCGAGGAAAGGAGCCTTGGAGAAATCGGTGTAGCCACCAGCCCACTCGACGGTGCCCTGGGGAGCATCCTTGCGTCCAGCAACCCAGGTTCCAAGCTTGACCTGCATAGGGGTCTGGGGAAGGCCGGCAGCGCCACCCTCGGCGTTGGCAGCGGTCAGGGTACGGACGACGTTGTTGTCGATCAACCAGGTCACACCAGCAGAAGTCCACTCAACGGAGTAAGTGTGGAACGAAGTAAGAGGGCTGGCAACGGGGTGGAAAGCACCACGGTCGAAGGTAGCAGTGTTACCCTTGCTGAAGTAGTTGGTCTGAGCCTGGGCGTTGTCGCCTCCAACCCACTCCCAGTCGATCTACAGTCGTCACAGTTAGTTTACGCTTGCTGATATGGGTGAGGGGGCATTCAATGATTCATACCTCGTCAAGATCATCGGACTGGAGAACGGCAGAGGTGACGATACCGACACCGGCGGCGGCCTGGACCTCGACATCGATGCGGCCGAAGAAGATGTACTTTCCAGTGCGGATGGTGGGAGCCTCAGCCTCGGTGCTGATGGAGAAAACAGCGCCGTTGCCGTTGTACTTGAGGGTGGTGCCGGGAAGAGAGTCAAAGTTACCGCATGATCCCTTGGTGAAGTCGCAGTCGCCTGAGTTCTTGCCGAAAGCAGGGTCGTTGGGGCAGGCTGTGAGAGTGTGTTAGTGATGATTCTTGAGATGTGAAGATATATATATATATGTTGTTCACTTACTCTTCTCGAGAGGGTTGCAGTCGGTTGAGGTCTGAGCAGAGACCAGAGCGGAAGCGGCCAGAACGGCGGCAGCGGTGAAAGTCTTGGAGTGCATGGTTGCTGATGTTGATTATACGGTTGACGATATTATATATACCCGGATTGACGAAGTAAAGAAGAGTATAAACAGAAAAAAGCGGGTGCTTATAGATGAACAGTCGAAGCGATTGCACCTATTGCAAGATTATGGCTGCAAAGAAACCAAGCGATAGTCGGTCAATCCGAGGCTGAGTAGCGAGAGACTGCGCAAAGAAAGACTCGAGGAAGGAGGCGGCTCGAGGAGGTTGATGGGCTCGAGAGGGACTGTACAGACTTTTGACAAAGGTATGAAATTATTAAGAGGGACGAGAGAAGAAGGAGAGGAGAAGGCTGAGAACGAGGTGGTGAGAAGCGTGTCTTATTATAGGAATGTACGCAGCAGTAGGAACGAGCAGTAGTACGAGCAGTAGTACGAGCAGTGCGAGCAGTACAGCCGCCTGGGGCTGGAGGCAGCAGGTAGCGCTGTGGGGGACTTGGGCCGAATCTGGTCGAGAGTCCAGGGTCCCACCATCCTTTGGCGCAACCCCTGTCGCAAATCCCTGCAGGGCCAAGCCTGGGCGACTGCGAGGGAGGCATGGCGCGCCGGACCCCTGGCGCTCAGTGTCTCTGTGCGCTTTTGCTAGCACCAGGCGCTGCGACTTACGAGATGCTGCTGCCGCTGCCCCTGTCCATCACATCCCTGCCGCTGCGGTGGCCAACCAGCAGTGAATCCGTGCCCAGGAACCGACTGCCAGCCAGCGACGGCTGAGCAGCACCAGCACCAGCACCAGCACCACGAGAAGGCGCCCCCAGAGCCCAAGCCCAGAGCCCAGAGCCCAGCCCCTCGGCTCGCATCTCTCTCGAGTCCGCCCGGTGGAGCGACGCAGGGTCCAGAACGGTGGGCAGCGGCTTTTGGCTCGTGTTGGTGGCGCTGGGCCTGCATAGCACCGTACGGTAGCCAGTGCGTTTTCTCGTACTGCTGATATGACGCTGCGCTGCGCTGCAAGTGGCATGTACCTTTTACAGCCACGACACGACAGAACAAAGAACAGGCGCGTCGTATCCTCCCCCAAATTCCGAGTCGCCGGTAGCCCAAACGGGCCTCGTGTCAAGCCCCATCCTTCACTGCCCACGGTGCTAAGCTGGCCGCTAGTCATAGCCGCCCATACTTTTCTCGTCAATGAGGCATAGCCAGTTGCCAGATCCAACGTGGCGTCGGCGCTCATCCTCCTCCGTTATCAGCCGCTCGAGCACTTTGTCTCTGGGAGTATGTACTTCATACGGAGTACCTACACGAAGAGAGTCCTCACGTACGCGTAACGAGTACGGCAGTCGTTCAGTCACAGTCATGGCGGCATGCCCACACGTTGGACTCGTATTTTTGGAATATGGGGTTAATCCTCTCGTGCTAATGATCCTATTCACAGAACGAACAAGAGAAAAAAAAGGGCGGCTGATTGCACACGTGCCTAGACGAATTTTGCGACACGCACAAGACAGCAGTTCCAGGCCACCCATCACACGAAACAAACAAACAAAGCCCTCGATCAAACTCTTCTGCTGCCCCCGTTTTCGGTCCGCTCAAACTGTCAATCAACGATCATCGCTCAGCGATTTGCACGCACTCGAAACCGCCGTTGGCAAGCCGCTGACACAAGTTGACCTGCTGCTTTAGGGAGGTTACATGTGCAGGTACCCTGCAGCTTCTGTCTACCTGCCCGCCAAACTCCAAATCCAACCACCCCGTAACCACGGCCTGGGGCCAAAATTTCCGCTGTCTGGGCACTGATAAAGGAAGGGCCAACAACGTCATTGGTGGGCGGGTTTACCCCTGATGACTGCCCATCCATCGAGGGAAAAGAGAAAAAAGGGCTGCAGGGTTCTAGAGCCTCGTTCGGTCTAGGGGGAGGGCTGCCCTTTGCAGACTTCGTACAGCAGCAGCGCCGCGATACGGTGTCGTCTGTTGTCGCCCAGACTGCATGACAGGCTGCAGCCGCCGACGACAGCGTGTCACAGTGTGCTGGATCGACGGGGGAGCAATGAATGGGGATCGTCGCAAGCTCCAGAAAAAGGGTTTTCGAGCCCTTTCGGTCTGCTCGTGCCTCGCGAGCCTGTCGCCACGGATCTGCCAGCTCTGGGGCTCAGCCCGGCCCAATCCAGATCATCAGCTCAGCTGAGCTTCACCGACTGATTGACTTCTTTTAGCAGCTCACTAATGCTTAGCAGCAAAGTAGTAGTCGATTGTACAAGCCGCCAATACTACTACTTACTGTAACTTGCTACGATACTAGAACTGGAAGCCAAGTATACGAGCTTGTCCGTAGCAGTCTAGCAGAGCAGCTGATATCATGTACCTCGTCCCCTCGTATACCAAAAAAAGCATCAGCGGTACCTGTCAGGCTCACGCGCTCCCCATACAAGCGCATGTACAGGTAAGCGACCCGTTGGAACCCTCGCTGGTGCGCGACCCCGCCGCCTGGTCCCCGGCTGCAACCAGCCTGTATCGGACAAGCGCCTCGGCACGGTGATCCCACTTACGTCCACTGTGGCCCATCCATGATCCATCAACCATCAACCATCAACCCATCAACCCACCAGCCCACCAATATTCCACCCCCGACATGTGCCCATCAGTCAATAGCGAGCGGCCTAGCAGCGCGTGCTACCACACTACGGAGCATTCCAGGTACACCACATCTTCGAATCTTCGAATCTCTGCCTCTAGCTGATGCGGTGTCATCGCGTCTTATGATCTTATGCAGGTGAGGTTACTAACGCTGCCTAGCTTCGGCCATCACATCAGCCTCTTATCTTGGACCTTTCTTTTTGACTCTATCTGTTCTTCTCTCTACCTTCTTTTTCTGATAATGGGTCTCGTTCGATCGATGTCTTTCAAGCCACTGGAGCGGCACTACAAAAGAGCAAGCAACTCCGCCATCAGTTCTAAAACGCCGTGGCTGAAGTTGTCATCGTCACACCAGTTGGAGCAAGCCCCATCAATCATCGATCTGGACCACAAAAATGACAGCATTGAAAAGGGCACGTCCGTTTGTTCACAAGCAAAACTGACTTATCCGAGTTTCAAGTGTCACGCAGTCCACGGATTGGCGCACAGTCTGTGCATTTTTGATGGACCTAATCGGAAAACTGAATCTCGGTCGTCCTAACCTTCTCGTCCAATCTGAGCCAACGGTTTATGGGGTATTACTCGTACGAGTATTTTTTTTTTCTTTGTGCGCTCATACGTCAGCATTCCAGACGCTGCCAAGTGCCGGGAGCAACTGACGCCTAACCGCTCCCACTCACTTACACGCTACCTATCATCGCTCTGCTCTCTCTTTGTTGTTCCCTTCGCCCTCTACACGAGAAGAACAAAAAAGCCCGCAACACGAGACGCAACTTGTCGGGCGCCTATATTACTCATGCATGTACGAGGTGCTGTAGTTGCAGTGCTAATGTACATGTAATGAGGGCTATCTCCGGGACACGAAGCGCCAAGTACCGGTATAGAGGAGCTTTCAGGTATGCCAAGCAAAAACTGCCCCCTTCTTTCGTACTGAATCCCAATGAGGCGACAAGTTGAGACGAAAAGATGCAGAAGATTAAAAAAAGAAACCTAATGCGTCCAGGGTCCAGGCCGCAAAGACTTGCTCCCGTGACCATTGGTCTTTACAGCACTCTCCAAGAATGTCTTCCCAAAGAGCTCGAGCCCTCTTCTCGTGCCGATTTTCCTGCTCGCCTGCTCCAATTGCTCTCTGGCCACGGCACGGCGGCACCATTGTCGCTGCTGGAGGTGGTATGGGTTATGGGTGGTGACCCCCTTCGTATTCACACGGACACGCTGTTAGCCCGCAACGGCGTTATCAATCCTTTACAAAGACTTTTTCCAAGCTGTGATCTACTCTGTCTATGCATGCTTTCTTTCTTATCAGTTGCACTGGTTGACTTGCCATCTCTGCTGTTGCTGTTTCTTGAACGCTCGGGAGATGGTTCCAATTCTGGTGTGGCTGTGCTTGACAACATGAAGCTTGAGCCTCCAAGTCAATGCTCGACTCAATTCTGTCTACCTCGGGCAATGCTAATGCGCGGCGCATACTGCGACCCCGGCCCGGCGACTACCAGATTCGGCCGAGCTTTTGAATTGCCCGCTACGGAACATTTTTCTCTTTTTTTCCAATTGAACGGTTCGTTGTTGGCTCGTAGGAATTATGTTTGATTGCATGGTCCCAAACAATTTCAGATTTCAGCCTGCAGCGTGACCACTCTTGCATTGTGCGCATTAGTCCAGGGGTTGCAGAGCGAAACGCAAATTCTTTCTGATTTTCTTTTTCCTTTTACTCTTATTTTGTGGTTCTCTCTCTCTCTGTTGGGCTGCGGTATTATTCGCTTTTGCCCTGTTGATCCTTTCTTTTTTTTACTTTTGTTCTTGGACATGCTCGGCCTTGGTCGGACGCAAACGCGCGTAAACACCGTATTATGTGTACGGAGTACAGCGCATTCCAGCCAGGGGTCAGTCCAGTCATCAAATCTTGCGGTCGCAGGCTTTCGACGCAATGAGATTGTCGAGGCACGCACAAAAAAGAAGAAGAAACCCCCCCCCCCAGGATATGGGGAACCCATCTCATCTCGCTTCTTCGGCTTTTTTCTTTTCCCTCTATTCATCATAGCCTTTTTTTCCTATTAATCAGATAAATTTAACCCAGACTAATGCCCAGGTTGCAAGACCCAAACGCTAGAGCCGCAACCAAAACTCGGCAGGATTTGCATGAAAGCCTCTTCATTCTCTTGGCTTCCTCGTGTAAGTCCACACTGATAAATCTATAGGCTGGTAGCTGTCACTGCAGGTCGTCTCATAGCGTCAATTTGAAGCTAACCAGCTGGCAAAGTAATGCGCCGTCTTCTGACTCTTCACGAGACAGACCACTTACACACTGGCAACCAGTATTTCGTTCCGGCTCCGTGTATCTCGTATTCACGGCCTCACCGCTGGGGGCCTTGCTGACTCCATTTTGCCTACTGGGTGACCTGTCGTCTGTTTTTTTTTTTCCCCTCCGTGGTCGGGCATGACCGCATATGGCTCGTTTCTTCGAGTCAGCTAAAATCCCATTGTTACTATTTGCGTAACAGCAGGTGACAGGCAGCCCTCTTTTTTTTCTTCTCTTTCTTTACTTCTTTCAGGATCAAGGGGTAATCAGTAGTTAGAATAAGAAAGACCAAAAAGGCGGCTCGTCCCTCTTTTTTCTTTCTTTCAAGGTGTCGCGGGGGTAATCATCTTCAAACATTGGTTTCACACAGCCCAAGATCTTTTATCCGGGAGTGTTTCAGACATATGCCTTTTGCTCCCTCACACGAAACGCTTCTCAAGCACCAATGTCTGTGGCTTCCGCTCGGAAGGGGGAAGAAGAAGAAGGCTTTGTTTTGGGGTGGATAGGTGGGCTGTGATCACACCGTTTACTTTCTGCCTCCTGTGAATGGCTGATCCTGCAGGGTGAGTGAGACAGCCTTAGCATCGCGGGCTGCCCTTTTTGGGCCAATTGCAATTGTCTACGACAACCAGCAGATTGGACTCGTTCATCTGTGAGGGATATTATGAACAAAGGTCGTCGCATAAGGCTTAAGTTTGCCCTTTGAACCTCGTGATAATGGATTCAGGTTGCTTCCCAAGGGCCAATAAGCCGTACTTCCCAAACCCCCCTTCTTGCGCTTGGCATAAGCTTTTTTGGTCACTCTTCCAAATCAACAACTCGGCCTTCGTATTACGCAGTAGCTAGCACCTGGTACCGAGTAGGTAGGCATTTGGTAGCCTATTGCTACGCCATCATCCCTTGAAGGTACGCTTCGGTTGGTGTCGGTAACGTGTCTCAGCCCATGTTTCGCTTGAATTTGACACGAGACTTCATTCGTTGCTGTTATTGCTACGATTTGTTGGTGAAGACAATGTATCTTCCGGACCTTGGTAATCTGTAGTATGGCTGGGCTCTCGGCTACGGAAAGGGCCGACATCTGTAGCACGTTTCACGGTGAGAGGTAGACGTCGTCATGGCTTTTCAGGGGGGTTAGAGTATATGGAGCTTTGGGTCTCCAGCTGCGTATGAGTGCAGAGATTTTACCAAGATTGAGCTATGGTTTAACTCATGGCAATCATGAATAATGGTCAATGCTTAGTAAATGGTCAATCAGCAGAACTACTCATTCAGTTGTAGCAACTTCCCTTCCAGTTATAGCTTCACTCGGTCGTAGGGACCACCGAATAGCTCCGTACATATCACCAACTGTCAAGCTCTCGGGTAGCTACCTACATGCACGTACAGTGGGCAAGCAGCCGAAGCGATGAGGCACTCGGTACTATTAAGGACATTTCTGTTCACATTCTCTAGAATGATTTCCTCATCTTGTCTTGGCATGACCACGCGTGAGGTGCCATTACATTAAGCGTGACTGCGTTCCTCTGCCTAACAGCTTAGTTATCTGTCTACGCGTCTTGACTCAGAGACGTTTAACGATGCTGCTTTGCTAATAATGCCTCGGCATCAAAAGAGAACCTATGAACATTAGAGACAGCCATGATTCAACTTTTGATTGGACAGCCAAACCTGTAGGAACGGCGCTCGTGCAATGTTACTGGAAATGATACAACTGATTACAGTAGAAAATGTGTAGTTAACGCCAGACACTCTTTCTATATTCATTTAACACTTATTTTTTCTGCGTTTTGAATGAAGAACAGGAAAGTTCCATGTTATATATCGATATTTACCTTATCAACGAAATGGGAATTATGATGTGAAAGCAAGCAACCATCCTTGCACCTTTCAATGCGAATGGGCTAGAGTGTCCGCAAACTAGAGGCAAACTTAGCACCGCGCCAATTCCGATATCACCTCTTTTGCGTGGCATATAAGCTGCCAACATCGTAATCCTCCATAAGAAGCCCACACCCATCTTCTACCCCCTCAATGCCTCATCTCTCTGTATTCATGATTGTTTGCCTACCGTTCTATCATATTGCCAAACATTCTTTATTGACGAGACCAGGTATTAGCTGGGGGTATTATAGATAATATTTCGAGTGGCTTCAGTGCCTAAAGATGAGCGATACATTCGAATCATGCTGTTTCAAAACTGACCGTTTTGGCAGTATGCGGTAGAAATCAACAAACTGCTTGCACCGTTGATCTTCGAAGTGCTTGCCCGACCCTTACAGCCTCTCGAATTCTTGCTAGGTAGGTTGTTGGCTTTCTGGTCACGCAGAGGAGCGTGCATGGGTTTGCGGCTGGATGTTGACCAACTTCGATGCTCTTGCTCCTGACACACAGATCTTAGCAAACAGGCTTTCAGGTGAGATACCCTTTATAATATATAGATGACATCCATGATCTTTATGCTGTTGGTCTGGCGCAACTGCGGGATGTTTGCCTCACAGAATTGGAACTCGCATATGCAATTGCCCGTGTATGCCTTGTGTTGAGCGATCACGTAGTTCCACTTTATATATCAAGCCCATCCGCCTGTTTGAGCAGCTTTTCATAGTCACATTTACACACAGAGAGGGAATAAATCAACAAATTGGCCAGATTCCTCAAGTTACTTGATACCTTGTTACAGATCTCGCAACCTTGGGTCCGGAACCAGTCTCCGGTCAGACATCGCCTATCGCCATCTACCCAAATGAGAAAAAAGCATGAACATACATGGAAATACCTGCTTAGCACCCTGACTAAGGTGCCTATGCTAACATTTGCATTATGCTACATGTAGCTACGCTATATTTGCTTCCATCATTATATCCCAGCAATTCGGGCCATTTGCGAACCTTGCTCAGTCTTGCACGCCTTTGGCAACACAGCGCAACATTGAACACCCGCCAGAACAAGATGCTGGGTTTCTCCTCATGCGCATATTGTTCAAGCTTAATAGCCCGGCCAAGCTTGGGCAAGTGAATATGTTGCCCACCCGAGGTGTAATAGCGGACTTCCTGAGCGGCGAGTGGCCTAGGGAGGACGGGCCTGGGCTGATTCACTTTAGGCTCTCTAGATTCCGCAACTTTGCAGCCACTCTCATTTCGCCCATGCCCCCGGCCTGGATAGCAGTAATCGGCAACACCGGGCATGTCTTTGAATCGGGCGACGCCGGCTGCTGGTACCATGTCTTGGCTCTTGCGGTGGACCATATCCTGGATAATTCATCGGAGGACGACGGCCTGACACCCACCGTACGTAACCTTTGTTCGGGTCGAACAAGACTGGCAGCTAGGGCAGGCGTATACCTTGGACGTCGCAGAACTCCTCCCCGAGACGCGAGCCTACATTGAGGCCGAACCGAGAACCTTCACCCTCAATCACTCCCTGGAGACGCGAGCCAGCCTCGAGGCGGATCCGAAATGGAAGGAATTGTTTTCTCGTCTACAACGTATGAGCATCTTGTCAACCCTCACGGACCACAACGTTTTTCAAGATTCAGGGAGAGGAGACGAGCCCCCAGGAGTAGAAGACAGGACATGGAGATGAATGACTAGGGATACAGAGGAACATTGCACACTGTTTCCGGCGAGTGATATGTTGAGCAAGGCTCGTCATGTAGCGAGAGACTTGGCAACAATGAATCAGGTACATGTGCAGTAAATATCAACCGATACGATACAATCTTGTAAATATATGATGTTTTCATGCTATATGAGAAGACTGTTACACATTGATATGGATCGTCTTTGAAGCGCTAAGCCTGCATTACGTTCTCCGCTCCAACGCACAGATCTCAATTGGGCTTCCGCATAATTTACAAACATGTACTATGTACTATATGGCTGCCTAGGTACTCGGTAAAAAGCACATAAAACCCATACTCCTCGTCCTATTAGTCCGGTACACATCCGTGATTTTTAACTTACAGTCGAGACTCACCTATAAACTCGCCCGCGTCTGCCTTGCAGATATAAATCTTTGCAACGTTGAGTTTCGAACCAATCTTCAGCCAGGCATCGCCCATCACTACCCATCAAGGTAACAGAGAAGCATAGCTGCCCAACTACGAGTCTCTTTACTAACGCCTCTGGCAATACAGCTCGCCATGGACGCCTCACCAGCCCCGAAACCTGGGCACCTCCTCTTGAACATGTTTTTCAAGATTAATGGCCCCGGCATACCCAGAGAAACCCACTATACACTGCCAACCAAGACGTCAATGTCGAACATTGTACGCGACGAGCTGTCCTTCAAAGACGTGCACGAGGTAACCGACTTCTCGCTCTCCAAATTCCTCGAATTCGCAGCCCAGTACATTTCGCCCATGCCCCAGGCGTGGATAGCAGTGGCCCGTTACTCGGGCCACGTCTTTGCCTCGGACGACGAAGAAGGCTGGTTCCGCGCCTTGGGTCTTATCGCGCAGGCCAGGATGGCCATCACTTGCCCGTGGCACGACGACGCGGAACCCCCCTTTATAGCCATTGTTCCGCTCGAGCAAGACCTGCCGGCGGGTGTAACGACGCACACCTTCAAACACGAGGATCTGCTCCTCAAGACGAAAGAGTACCTCGGCGAGAGAGCGCCCGATTTTTTCGATGGTGACTGCCAACTCCAGAATTGGCCTCTCCCCGGCGAACTGTCGGACGAGGACCTGTAAGTCTGGAACCAGACACAGACGAGACGAGACTTGATAGTAGATGAGAAGATGAGCCCGGGTGGGTACATGTCAACATGGAGATGGATTACTCGATAGATAGATAGAGGATATGATGCGCTGATTCCGGCGAATCATCGTCGATTAAGCATTGCTAATGTTGCGGCATGTCGATATTCGATATGACTGGGAAATTCTGGTAATTCCCGATTCGCTACGAATGGAGGAAGCCTTTGGCCGTTGCAAGGAGTTCTCTGCAAAAGGAGTTTAAGCTCGGCCGGCTTCTGGCGGATTAAGTACATGTAGCTGCAGATAGATACCCTTTACTTGACAGTTCCACGAATAAACAGCATACCTTTAGATAGTCTCTTGATTTGCGATGCCATTTCAACCATATAGGAGGATTATTGCACAATGATATCGTACATGCATCGCCAAGCCCACGTCAAAAAGCCGTTGTAGCTCAATTTAGGTTTTGGCGGCTCAAGTAAGTGCGCGAGCGGACGTGATTCTGATGAGCCGGCCTCGGAAAAACGGGGATTTCCTTGTCCTCTTTCGCTGTCAAAAATGGCCAACATGGCTAAATATAGAAAAGATGGCTGGGTTTGAGATGCATGGATTCCAGGCACCAGCCTTGCACACAGATTGGATGAAATGCTTCAAGCACAGTGCGGCTGCTTGCCGTCTCAAGGCCATGAGCTGCACACAAGGCATTGCCAGTTTTCATCTGGCTGTCTGCATCAGCCTTTCGTGCCTGTCCATCATAATCTGCCCACTCGTCCATCAAGCTCTTGCAGCCATCAGATCATCCCGGCCAATCATCAGCACCCACAATGGCGCACTTGTCCACTAATGTCGATACCTGTAGAATCCAGCGACAGCGCCCCACGACACTGCATGACGCACAGTATGCGTGCCTGTAGGTACCTGGTCAGGTCGCAGGGACCGGGCTTTGGCGGCAGGGCAGGCTGCGGCAATTGAGTACCGAGAACCACAGAGCCACAACCGACATGCAAGCAAAACTCGATCGCCTTTTTCACATGGGTTTGTGTGTCTGGTGCTTTGAAAACTCCATCGCACGCCTGATTTTCTTGGTGCCTGACGTGCATGCAAGCCTCACGAGCCCTGCTGTAGACACGCCTCTTTGCGTGGACTGAGCCGCTTTGCTGCAGCCTGCTCGCGACTCTGTTCAGGCGTCCAGCTTTTGCTGCGTCTGCCCATTTCCCCTCCTTTGTATCCCCTCCTGCATAACCATCTTCATCGCCTTTACTCTCGCTTTGCCCGCCCACTCTTACTTTCTCTCTCTCGCCGAACCCATCCCTATCTTTCTTTGTCGCTCGCTCGCCGCTGCTCTTCTATTTCCGCGCCTTTTCATCGCCGTCTTGCTGGTTAGACGGGCCCTTCTTTGCGAAGAATAGAAATAGAATCAACACCAAAGACCTCTGTTCAGCCCGCATCATGGCCGCTCACAACGACGTCGAGGCCTTCCACCAGGTGCTTCGGTCCAGCCGCCGGATCCTCGCCCTCTGTGGGGCCGGTCTCTCGGCCTCGTCCGGCCTGCCCACCTTCCGCGGCGCCGGCGGATATTGGCGCAACTACGATGCCACGAGCCTGGCGACGGTACGGGCCTTTAGGACGGACCCGGGCATGGTCTGGCTGTTCTACGCCTATCGCAGGCACCTGGCGCTCAAGGCTGAGCCGAATCCTGGGCACCGAGCCCTGGCGGCGCTGGCGAGGCGGAATATGGACTTTATGTGCCTGACTCAGAACGTCGACAGTAAGTTGGTGTTGAGGATGTGGTGTTAAGAAGGAGAGATGTGTATAAAGTTGGCTAACACACACATGTGCTGCTCTCTAGACCTCTCACCACGGGCTGAGCACCCCTCTTCACAGCTAAAATGCCTTCATGGCTCGCTCTATGACATCAAGTGCTCGAATGAGAGCTGTGACTGGATACAAAGGGGCAACTTTGACGATCCCTTTTGCGCTGCGCTGGCCCCGGCTTCCGTGGACATGCCCAACGGCGAGCCCCTGCCACTGCTGGATCCGTATCACCGTGTCAAGCACATCACCGAGGACGAACTCCCAAAGTGCCCCAAGTGCCACAGAGGCCTGCAGCGTCCGGGCGTGGTGTGGTTTGGGGAGGATCTAGACTCTGCGATGATGATGGATATTTCAGCGTGGATGAACGCTGAGCCACTGGTACGTTTGGACGCTTGAGTGATGTCTTTCCTCATGTTCTTTTGGTCTCCCTGTACTTGTGATCGTCACTGACGCTCTTTACAGGATCTCATGTTCGTAATTGGCACATCGGCGCAGGTCTATCCTGCTGCTGGCTACATCGACAAGGCAAGAAAGCGAGGCGCGCGGATCGTCACAATCAACCCGGAGGCGGAAGACGAAGCCGAAATGTTCAAGATCAAACCGGGCGACTTTGCCTTTGGGAAAGACGCCGCCGAGTATCTACCGCTTCTGCTCGAGCCCATCATTGGCAAACCGAATGCGGATGGCGAATTTGAGATGCCCTAGTCCAAATCACGATCAACGACAGTCGTGGAAACTATTCTATGCGGGCCAACTTTTTTTTTTCTTTCCTTCTTTGGGCTGTTGGAGGTCACTCTGGATTTTGCTTTTGGCTCCTCCTTTATTTTTTCACTGAGGACACGATAATATCCACTTTAGGATATTAAAAGATATTTGGGTTTAGAATTATATAACATTCGACTCGCTATGATCTCGCACAACAAACAAGTCGTGGAATACGATGCAGCACTTTTTTATTAATTTGATTTAGCCGTAATAATATACATGCATTATGACGCTTGAATGATACGAAACACGCTTTGTGAGATGCAGGAATAGTCAACAGGGTTATACTACGCTTTGCCCCTCAAGTATTGACACTTCTCAACGCAATACTATCATCGGTTATGTCAAGACATTCAAGATTCCCGAGCCCGCAGAAGCTCTCGTGCCAAGTTATCAACATCAGTCCCTGGCCTTCAACCCACCACAGTCACCCCCTGCTCTTTGGTTGGCCAGCTTGTCTACAATAGGCAACTGAGCTTCACAACAGCTATTAGTGCTCCTCTCGCCCAAGGCGGGGTCGCGATAACCATGCGAGGACTCTCATCATCCACCGGTCAGTGGGGAATGGGAACTTTTGGACCAGCAGTCTGTGCTGCCGGCCGTCGGAAGTATTGCGATTTCGAGAGCAGGAGATATGTGTTACTGTCTTTACGGCAGGGCGACATGCATAGTCGTGCAGATCGCTGACGTCGTCTTTTCTGTAGCGGCTCATCTGCAGCAATCGAATCGGCAGGGCAGCTTCATGGATAGACATTCCGGGGTCATGTTGCATTGCGCCGTCTCGGCCAACCTCTCCCCGCGTTTCTCTGGCCATGGGTGCTGAGACGACGAGTTATACAAATAACGGCGTCTGGCCGAGTCTTCCTTCCTTGGGTCGCTCTCTTCGATGTGATCCTCATTCTTCTGCAATTGGGGCCGTGAGCGTCTCAATTGGGCTTCCATTCTTACACGATGCGTCCCACTGTTGAGCTGCTCTCTTCCCTATATCTCTTGGGCACGTGTAGCCTGTCTGTCCATGCAGCACCGCAAAAGTCAAGCAACGGCCTGTCCTACATCAACCCGCTCATCGGCACCACCAACGGCGGCAACGTCTTCGCCGGCGCAACGCTGCCCTACGGCCTCGCCAAGGCCTCCGCCGACGTCGACGGCCAAAACACCGGCGGCTTCGGCCTGGACGGCAGCAACGTCGTCGGCTTCTCCAGCGTCCACGACAGCGGCACCGGCGGGAACCCCAGCCTGGGTAACTTCCCGCTGTTCCCGCAGGTTTGTCCCGACGACGTGCTGGACAATTGCAGCTTCCGCATCGGCGACAGGAAGCTTCACTATGTCAACGGCTCGGTGGATGCGCGGCCGGGGCATTTTGGCCTGCAGCTGGAGTCGGGCGTTGTAGCGAACATGACGGTCTCGCAGCACGCGGCGCTGTATCGCTTTACGTTTCCCAAGGAAAGCAGCGGCAGCAAAAGCAAAAGCCATCCGTTGATCTTGCTGGATTTGACGGATCTGTGGCAGAGCAGACAGAATGCCTCGATCCAGGTTGACGAGAAGTCCGGGCGGATGACTGGCAACGGCACGTTTCTGCCCAGTTTCGGTGCCGGATCGTACGTGATGCACTTCTGCGCTGATTTCTTTGGCTCGAGCATCTACGAAACTGGTGTTTGGGTCAACAACAGAGCGGGCACAGAGCCAAAGGAAGTTTTTCTCACTCGCGGCTTCAACCTGTTCTTCCTGGAAGGCGGCGGCTTTGTTCGTTTAGATCCCCCCAGTGATGGCACCGTGACAGTTCGGATGGGCATCAGCTACATCAGCAGCCAACAGGCTTGCCAAAACGCCCAACGGGAGATTCCTAACCCTTTGAAAGCTTTTGACTCGCTGGTTAGCAATGCTGAAAAGGCATGGGAAGAGAAGCTAAGCCCCATCTCGGTCAAGAGTGGCGGCGCGACAGACGATCTGTTGACGAGCTTCTGGAGCGGCGTGTATCGCAACATGATTTCGCCTCAGAACTACACGGGCGAGAATCCACTGTGGCATAGCGATAAGCCTTACTTTGACTCGTTCTACTGGTGAGTTTCTTTACAGAGCGAATCTCTCTTTGTTAGATTTCCATGTCGAGACATTAACCGCATGTTATTTGCATAACTATCAGCATCTGGGACAGTTTCCGTGTCCAGCACCCTCTCCTCACAATCCTCGATCCTCATGCCCAGACTCAAATGGTAGAGGCCCTGCTCGACATCTACAAGCACGAAGGCTGGATGCCCGACTGCCGCATGTCTCTCTGCAAAGGCTGGACCCAAGGCGGCTCCAACGCCGACGTCGTCATCACTGACGCATTCGTCAAGAACCTCAGCACCACCATTGACTGGGAACTCGCCCTCGACGCCGTCATGGCCGACGCTGAAAACGAGCCGCTCGAGTGGTCGTACCACGGCCGCGGCGGCCTCCACAGCTGGAAGAGCCTCAACTACATCCCCTATCTGGACTTTGACCCTTACGGCTTCGGGACCAACTCTCGCAGCATCTCGCGCACACTGGAGTATGCGTACGATGACTACTGCATCTCGGAACTGGCTGGTGGATTGGGCAGGCGTGATTTGCAGGTCAAGTACCAGGGACGGAGCATGAACTGGAAGAACCTGTGGAAGGCTGACCAAACTTCGTTGATCAACGGGACTGATACTGGCTTCAAGGGCTTTTTCCAGCCCAAGTATCTGAACGGGACGTGGGGATTCCAGGATCCCATTGCATGTTCTGCGCTTGCGGGGTTTTGCTCCTTGACTACTAATCCCAGTGAAACGTTTGAAGCCAGCATCTGGCAATATCTCTTGTAAGTGCCAAGTCGAAAAACCAAGTACGATAGAGCTGTAACTAACCCTCAACTTAAAGCTACGTCCCCCACTCAGTCTCATCTCTCATCTCCCTCCTAGGAGGCGACGAAGCCATGATATCCCGGCTCGACTTCTTCCACACCTCCGGCCTCGCAGACATCTCCAACGAGCCCGTCTTCTTCACCGTCTTCCTCTACCACTACACCGGCCGCCCAGCACTCTCGACCGAGCGTATCCACCAGTACGTCCCCGCGTCCTTCAACTCGTCCCCCGGCGGGCTTCCCGGAAACGACGACTCCGGCGCCATGGGCGCGTTCCTCGTCTTCTCCGTCATGGGCCTGTTCCCTGTGGCGGGACAGAACGTGTACTTGATCTCGCCGCCGTTTGTCGAGGAGATTAGCATCCGGCATCCTGTCACGGGCAAGACGGCTACGGTGCGGAACGTCGGGTTCGATGCGTCTTATAAGAATGTCTATGTGCAGAGCGCAAAGGTGAATGGGAAACCGTGGACCAAGTCGTGGATTGGGCATGAGTTTTTCACAGAGGGGTGGACGTTGGAGTTGGTGCTGGGGGCGAAGGAGTCGAAATGGGGGACGGAGTTGAAGGATAGGCCGCCGAGTTGGTCGGTCAGTAGTTAAACTGTTGAATCAGCTATAGAGTAGAGCAGATTGATGAATAAGAATACAAACAGTTATCTATATATACTTGTGTATCAAACCACTTGTAAGTCGAATAATGGGGTACTATGTAAGTATTTCAAGAGCAGGTATACGTTCAAACCAGTGAGTATGTACTGCATGTCTGAGACTATCCTCATCTTTATATTCATCTTTACATAAAAAGATGAGTATCTAATAGTTTTGAGTCTTCTATTGCGACAACTATGCTCACCAGCTTCTTCAAGACCAGGGCGGCTTACACGCCAAATCCGCTAGGGTGCGCCCCACTGCCTTATTACAGGGTCCTTTTAGCGACCGAGTGACGTATCGCCCATCAAGCCACCCCACAGTGAAAGCCAACCTCGTCTCTTCCATCTCCACCAGCAAACCTCCAAGGAAAACCATCACCAGCATCGCTTTTCCCAATAACTGAATAAACGAGCAAACCGTAAACATATAGAGAAGCAAAACACAAAAAAAAAAAAAAAAAAAAAAAAAAAAAAAAAAAAAAAAACCCCCCCCCCACCCCCCCCCCACCACCCCCCCCTCACCCCCCCCCCCCCCCCCCCCCCCCCCCCCCCCACCCCCCCCCCCCCCCCCCCCCCCCCCCCCCCCCCCCCCCCCCCCCCCCCAAAGNNNNTTTTTCCCAAAAACAAAAAAAAAAAAAAAAACCAAAAAAAAAAAAAAAAAAAAAAAAAAAAAAAAAAAAAAAAAAAAAAAAAAAAAAAAAAAAAACTCGCCCACCATGCAGGGCTTCAACATGGGACGCTACGTCCCCCCCGACCTCGAAGGCACCACCTCCGGCAACAAGCTCAACCACAAACATCCTCTCGGCCACCGCGCCTCCAAGCTCGCCTCCCACGGCATCCTCACCGTGCGCTTTGAGATGCCCTTCCCCATCTGGTGCGCGCACTGCCCCAAGCCCACAATCATCGGCCAGGGCGTGCGCTTCAACGCCGAGAAGAAGCGCGCGGGCAACTACTACACCACGCCCATCTGGAGCTTTCGCTTCCGCCATGTCGAGTGTGGCGGGTGGATTGAGATGCGCACCGATCCGAAGAACACGGCGTATGTTGTCGTCGAAGGAGCGACGAAGCGCGACACGGGGGAGGATAAGGTCTTGCCTGAAGAGAATGTTATCATGACGGACGAGGAGAGGGAGGCGCTGAGGAAGAATGCGTTTGCGAGTCTGGAAAAGACGATTGCCGATCGGGAGAGGTTGAAGATGGCGACGGAGCGGATTGATGACTTGGCGGATTTGTCGAAGAAGCACTGGGATGATCCGTATGCGCAGAATCAGAAGCTGAGAAGGGCCTTTCGCGTGGGCAGGAAAGAGAGGGAGATAGCGGCGGCGGCGACGGAGGATTTGAAGGATAGGATGGGGCTGGGGATAGAATTGCTACCGGAGAGGGAGGATGATGCTAAGAGGGCTGCGCTGGTGGATTTTGGAGGAGACGAAAAGGGACAAGGAAAAGACGGCGATGGGGGCATCAAGGCGTTATCGAAACCTTTGTTTGCGAGTACAGTTACAAAATCGACATCAACAACAACCAAAAAGCAACATCATTCATCTTCGAGTTTCAAAGACACAAGAACAAAGGCCGAAAAGGAAGCATCCCGCAGGAAAGAGACATTTGTCGCACAGTTTATATCGAACACGCGAGCCGCACAGGACCCCTTTCTCGGCGGCGACAGAAGTGCTACGAATAAAATCTCTCTCGGTATCAAGAAAAGGAAGCGGATCGATGGCGAGGCTGAGGCGGATGAGAGACTTGCTGAAGAGCCGGAGGCTAAAGTGGCAGTATCGGCGCTGGCGCCGGTGTCAACCGTGGGATTGGTAGAGTATGATTCTGATTGAACATCCAAGTGGGCAATTCTAATCTTCACAATTTTCTTCTATCCGATGTCTTTGTCTGTGCGGGTGCATGGCATTCACAATTAGCATGGGAAGAAGGGAGTGTATAGATATAAATTAGACTTCTCCATTTTTTTAGATACTAAGATACCCCTTTTCATAGAAGCAGCTCAGTTGCTGGCTTCACTTTGATCAACATAAACTCAAATAACTCCATAGCACTCATACTCCGCGTTCTAAAAGACTTCATATTCAACTATTTTTTTGACTCAATCCACTCAATACTGAGCCTTTAACCAAGGCCATTCATCCCCTCCCATTCAATGAACACCTACAATTGCCCAACTTCAACACATATGTGACCCAAACTGCGGATACTAATGTCTCTCAACTGGCTTCTCCTCGCCCCGGGCCTGCCTCTCCCCCTCCCCCTCCTCACAGTCTCTCCTTCTCTCCTTTTGCATCGCAAAGTTAAAAGAGAGGCAGTCGCCAAGGTGACGAAATGTGAAGTGGTGATGTGGGAAGCTTGCGTAATTTCCTCCATGTCAGTGTAGTTGAGAAAAAAAAGAGACGAATAAGAAGACGAAAGCCAATGTCAAGAAAAAAACTCCTGTTGCCCCGGCTGGCCTGTTGACTGCTTAATCCCAAAGCGAGACGCCGTGATTTATGATTGAACTGCTATGGTTTGTTTAAATCGATAGTTGGTGACAAACTTCGTGCGCACCCTTGCAACAAATAGAGAGAAAAAGAAAGGATGCCATCGTTCTTATACGTCGTCCATTTGGCCGGCGGGTTCATCGTCGTCGTCGTCACCAAAACTCGCCACCGAGGACATGTCATCCTCATCCTCGCTCTCGGCACCAGCTTCGTCCACCATATCCTTATTGGCATATTTCTGGACATACTCTGCAAAGGACCCCAAGTCAGTATACCATATATACTATAACCCTCTTATTCCAGCCTGACATCCTCCTCTGGAAAATGCGTACCTTTAACTTTGGCGTCGTAGCTCTTTGGTTCCCTGATCAATAAGGCAGCTGCTTCCCCGTTGAGCGGATCCGTCGGGTTAGGATATCGGAGTAGCTGAGGCAGGAAGACCTCGAAGATGTTGATCATATCGAACATCGGAGACCATGTCTGGTTGATGACATCCAAACACACAGAACCGGACCTATTTTCAAGCCACCAAGGTCTCAGCAACAGAGAACGTAAAAAAACCAACCCCTTGCTTCGCAAATCACTGCTTCCTTGCAGGCGGAAAGTCTCCCAATTGGTGCACACTCACAACTCATCGATATTGGGGTGGAAGATGCGGTTAACAAATCCAATGCTCGGAGACTTGTACGGATACGTATCGGGCAGCTCGACATGGACCTTCCACAGACCTCCTTCGAATGGGGCTGCCGAATCGTGTTAGTCACATATATCCGGATCTCCTCCTTTGCCCTCTGGGCGGCGCAACGCAGGAACCAACTCACTCTCTGCTGGGCCTTTGAATCTGACAAAAAACTCTTGCCTATGAGGATCCTTGTTAGTAATGGAATGTTTGTGATCCCGTTTCGGCCAGTGCGAGGCAGGGGGACGAGGCTGTGTCGTATATGTCGGATGACGCTTACACTGCAACGAGTCAGTTAGCAACCAGGCTCCCCAAATTGATTACTGCTGATCAAGCTCTTCGTAACAAGAGAGAAAATCATGTCTGCCGTTGCTTACTGTTATCATTGACAAGTGTCACTTCGTAATCGCTCATCAACCTGGTTCACAGCCATGTTAGCCAGCAATGGTGGCACCGGGGGGAGGTTCTCGGCCGGAAGGACAGTTTCGTACATCCTGCAAGATTGTTAGTCAGACGACCCCCGAGCAATGCAAATTGCGTTTTGTTTATTCCAGAGGAAGAAGCATACTTCATGACCTAGAAATCCCCAAAACAGAAGCAAGCAGTCGGTTAGCCCCCAAACTCCTCCAAGCAGGGCTCGCGGACTCATGACTTACATCAGTCTCAATCCGGCGGCGTGGGCTGCTCATGATGGGCGGCTGTCCAGGGACTCGTGCCGCGGCTGCGGAAAGGAACTGGGAAATATGTGGAGATATAAGGCTTATTGTGTCTGAGCCTTCTCGAGGGTGTGGCTCCGGGCGTGGCCAGAGATCGTGGTGACGTGCAGTAGCGTCGCAGTTGCGGGCTCGCAGCCAGTATTGGGGAAGTTCGGATTCGGTTCGGCGGTCGAAGACGAAGAGGGCGCAAGAAGAAGAAAGAAATAGAGAGGATGGTAGATCAAAGAAGAAATGGTCTGTGCAGCGATTTTTTCAAGAGAAGGACAGAAGAAGAAGCCGGATCGGTCGATGGTAGGGCCAAAAGTCGTGGTTGTATGTGATGCAGTGCAAAAGAGCAGGTCTGAGTTGCTTGGGATGACAGACGCAAACGTTATCGATCTTGTCACTCTCCCAACAGCCCCTCTCTGCTAAGGCTCGCTAAGGCTCTAGGCGCGAGCTGCAAGAGTCACGAGGGAGACCGCTGGCTAACCGCTAACAATTTTGCGTCCAGCGGCCTGCGGCAGCGCTGAGGGCGCCGAGGATTTAGCGGATTGGTGCCGAGATCGTCCAGCCCCAGCTGAGACATTGGCAGCGGCAAACGGCCAGCGTTGCCCCGTTGGGTTGGGCAGCATGGATTGGATGGTTTGCGCCATCCGGGGCGGTTTTTTCACTGGTTGCGGAATTCCGAAGAGTCAGCTGAGTTTCTGCAAGACCAGCCTGGCGCGGGTTTAACAGGTCGCAGTACTGGATGTGTAAGTGCGTGATCTAGCACTGATGCAGGATGTCAGCTCATGCTCGATGGTAGCAATATGTATCATTTACATACAGAGCAGTGCCATCTCTCCATGCTCCAGCCTCTTTTCTAGAATAATTAATCGACATATAACAATGCTCCGAGTGGCTGTGCGCATGTATGTAATCGTACATCACAGCCCTACAATAAGCACCAACACGCCCTTGGGTCAATCATCGCAGTCACGAGCTGATACATCCGCCGTCATTAACCAACGTCCCACGTCAGAGCCAAGTCCCAATGCAGCCACAAAGCCTTATCGGGCAACCAGCCGAAAACCACCCACGCACGTAAACTCAATCAGGCATTTTTGCAGAACTCGGCGTGGAAGCAACGGAAGTTGCTTCTCCATGTAAGCCAGATCCTTTCCCAGGGCCATAGCCTACCTAATAGAACGCAGTATTGGTCTTCTTTGCCGCCCCCTGTGCCCCGTGCGTGTAAGTCAAATTCTCACGTCTCTCGAAACGTGACCCATAGTCCCCATCATCAGCATCATCATCATCATCGTCGTCGTATCCTCATCCTCATCCTTTGGGTCTTATTTTTTGGGTTTATTCAAATCACAAAAAAGGCTTACTACAAGGCTCTCTCCTATCTCGTCTTCCACGGCAACGGCGGATTCCGCCACTGTCCGGCAAAGTTCAGAAAAAGCAAACCCCAAGTGTGCCTCGGTAAAATACTATGTATGTTGAAGCCTTCCTATTCCCATTCGCACCGTGCCGAGTTAGCCAGACAAGGAGCCATCTTACCATCTTGGGCACTAAAACACAATCCCTCGACAAAAAGAAAAGAAAAAAGAAAAAAGAAACAAAGAATAAATTAATTTGTTGCCTAGATTCAATAGTCATTTCACACTATTCTCCCCCCCTTTCCATTATTGGCCCCCGTGTCGGGCGTTTCGGTTCTTCTGCTTTCGTACTCTTTTTCTGCTTCCTACACCCATTTGCCCGTACTCGTAGCGGTAGCACTAAAAAATAAGGGATGCTGAAAAGTGCCCAGTACACACGAGACCGGCCGGATTTCCAAGAGACTCAAATCTACATCGTAAAACCTAGCATGCCTCATTGCTTCTTTTAAAAAAAGCGCCTTCGTCCGCTCTCGTTGCATCTTTTCTTTCTCATTCTACTTCATCATCTTCTTCTTCATCTTCATCACCTCTCAGGACTTGTCCAGCAATCGTGTGTCACCACAAGATATTTTTATCTTCTTGATCTACATTTCGTACCTAGTTCTTTACATCCATCTTTGCATTTCTTGTCCCACTCTTCATCTCTAGGTACCTCACTAGTACTCATCACATACGTATTGGCGCTGCGCAGTACCTGCAGAGAACCCGCCGCATCCCCATAATACCACGTAAATTTCCAAGTTGGGAGAAGTCATGTTTCCGATCGGAGCCTCGGCCAGATCGTGTGCAGCGGTCGCTCGCAGCACGCGACTCAACTCCAGCCTCATATCCGCTGTCGCTGCGTCTTCATCTTCGTTGACACGTTCCTACATCGCTTCTTCAAATCTTCATGTTCCTAATGCCATCAACAATGCATCATCATTCCTTCAAAAAAGACACAGCTCTCACTCTCCCATGGGCACTCAGTCCGGGCCTCCTCGCAAAAAGGTCACCATGAGCACCATCAAGTCGCTGTACCAAAAGGGGGAGCCCATTGCCATGATTACTGCGCATGACTTCCCCAGCGCCTATGTTGCCGACCAGAACGGCATGGACATTGTCCTGGTGGGCGACAGCCTGGCCATGGTTGCACTGGGCATGGAAGACACAAACGAAGTAGAGGTGGAAGACATGCTGCTGCATTGTCGATCGGTAGCACGAGCTGCTAAGAGTTCCTTTACCGTAAGTTATTCATTGCTTTCTCCTCTTTCAATATCTTATAGACTAACACAGCTTGATAGGTCGGAGACCTTCCCATGGGATCCTATGAAATCTCCCCTGAACAAGCCCTAGCCACTGCCATCCGCTTCGTCAAGGAGGGCAAGGCACAGAGCGTCAAGCTCGAGGGCGGCAAGGAGTTTGCTCCCACCATTCGCAAGATCACTACCGCTGGCATCCCGGTTCTTGCTCACATTGGTCTCACGCCCCAGCGCCAAAATGCCCTCGGAGGATTCCGTGTTCAAGGCAAGACCTCCGCAGGCGCCATGAGCATCTTGGAAGACGCCCTCGCTGTCCAAGCAGCCGGGGCCTTTGCTGTTGTTCTGGAGGCTGTGCCCGCTGAAGTTGCCACCCTGATTACCCAAAAACTGTCCATCCCCACCATCGGTATTGGCGCTGGCAATGGCTGTTCCGGCCAGGTGCTTGTTCAGATCGACCTGACTGGCAATTTTCCTCCCGGCAGATTCATGCCCAAGTTTGTCAAAAAGTATGGCGATATCTGGAGCGAATCTGCCAGAGCCGTCGTGGCTTACCGGGACGAGGTCAAGAGCAAGCAGTTCCCAGCTCCAGAGCATACCTACCCAATGCCTGCCGAAGAATTCGAGTCATTTGCCAAAGCCGCAAAGGACTTGTAAGGAAAAGAAGAATGTAACGAGAGAAGAGTGGGGTGTAAGTTGAGAGCATAAAGCAGCGGCGTTCTTTGCTTTATTTGTTTTGGCTCAGCCAGTATATAGATTGCGTTCTTGCGTATGTGTATATGTATATGCGTGGGCATAGTAGAGGATTCTAATAATGGTATCTCCAAGGGAAACGGAGGGAAGTGGAAAGGAGATGGTAATGACGATGATGATATAAAAGACAGATATACCACCTTGTTGAGCAGTAAATAGGGAGCAGCTTTCTAATTTTCTCATCCAAACGCTGGAGTTATGGAATAGGCCACAACTAGTTGATCATGAGAATTTTTGAAGCACTGATTCCAATCATTAGTCTTTTTCCAACTTGTTGATAGAATAATAAAGCAAAACTCCCATATACTCAGCCAAACTCACCTGGTGCAGATTCCCCACAACCTCATCCAAGGACGGCGCAAACGCACTATTCACATACAGAAACACACTATCCGTATCCTTACACCGCAGCTTCCGCCTCAAATACCGCACCACCTCCTCAAACTTGCGCGCCGCCGAAATCTTGCACACGTCCTGCTGCAGCGCCGGCGCCGACCCCACGGCCTTGAACTTGACCACCACTTTGCTCATCGCCGGGAACCCGCCCGCGCTGGCCAGCGCCGCCGTGGCGTCCCGCGGCAAGTCGGCCAGCACCACCGACGCGCTCAGCGTGAGCGGGATCTCGGGCGAGGCCGCGCCGCTGTCTCGGTTGCTAGTATTGTTGCTGTTGTCATTGTTGTTGATGGTATTGGTGTCCTCCGAGTCTGCGTCTGGCATGGGCGAGGCGGGATGCGATGGCGGGGAGAGGAGCAGGTCGGAGGGGTCCATGGCTGAGAGAAATGCGATTTATTCCGGCCTATTTTCTATGTTGATGGAGGTGTATGGCCGTTTGCACAAACGAAAGTGAGGTAACAAAGCTGCATCCGCATCTATCTACGAGGTGGGTGATGGCAGATGTGAGATGAAAGCTGGCGTTGAAGGTGAGCCTTGCAGCCTGCAGCTCATACGCAGCTGCCTTCCCTGTTACAGTGCATAATACAGTGCATATTTACCTGACTCGCCCTGTCCACAGCAACATCGCACTGTGGTCTTACACATATCACCAATGAATACACGTGCGCAAATAAGATTCAGCAACAACTCAGTCAAGTTCACAGTAATGTGTGTTTTATTTTGAATTCTGTTGTTACTACTACCTGCATATCTATCGTGAAAATGCTATCCCAAGTCATAAATACCGGTCCGGCCCGTGCAAATCGACGCCTCCGGACTCTTTGCTTATACACTTCCTTGAATTGTAACATGCCAGCTACAATATGCATGAATTTTTATAACATACACCCCAGAATGTCCCTTATCATCAGTCAACCTCCCTTGATGGCAAGTTCTGCTCAACTATGCCATCAAGTCTCCCCTCTCTCCTTCGCCTCCAGTCAAAAGCTTCGCAAGACGCCTCGGCTCAATCCATTCATTAGTGCCAATCCTACGTCAGTCCGCAAAACCATTCCAAGTCGTTCTATCAGAGAGCCCCGACCACATTCACCTCCTCCTCTATCGTAGCATCCACTCGGCCACCAAGCAATAAGGCCATCCATCTGTCAAAAGAAGAAAAAACCGAGCGTGAAAATAACGCCTCCTGCTATGT